GCTAATGCTCTTCAAGTGGCATGAAATCCAACCAAAGTACTTTTTCCAACAAGTCAAACTAATTGGCTGCCGGCAGAAACTTTTAATTAGCTACAGCTTCAACAAGAAGGTTTAACAAGCAGTATCTGATCTTTCACCCGCTGCAGTCAGCTCTCCACTACAATAGGGAATACATGCTGCCAAGATTCACAAAGTGGTCTAATGATTTTCACCGAAAACTAAACATGCTCCCCATCGGTACATTTCTATTAGAAACCTGGCCATTTTGCTTATCGATGCATTGATGCTCCTCACCTCCTGCACAGCACCAGGGCCCATTTCTGGTACATAAAGCAGCCAAGGCTCACTTGAGTTTCCTTTCTTATCCAGACTCCACAGAGTGAAAATGCAAAAAGGCCCACATAGATTTTCGTCACTCCTCCTCTAATAATGCCAGGTTTATCTGGACTCCTGAGACTTACTTTCCCTTTAAACAATTGATCAAAAACCATTCCAATTATACTTAGTTTTTTGACACTAATCTAACTCTTTATAAAGTACGTCTTTTGTGCATGATGGAAACTGTATTGTTCTGTTCAACTGTTGTATTAAAAGGGTGAAACCTAAAAACTGAATGTATTTTTAAAAACCAACATGGATGCTGCTAACTTAATGGAAGCTATTGCATCAGACCTATTGTTCCTTTTCCCCAATATCAACTGTGTATGGAGTAGCTTTTTACAGTGCAAGTTGGCACCCAGAGACACTCTATTATTGTTATGATATTAGCAAAATGCTCTGCCTGCTGTTACAAAGATATACATGCAAGGGAAAGCCTAGCTCAACAGCTTATGAAATCAGTCCCCTGAAAGCCTTGAGCTGCCTAGAGCTTCTCCCTTCTCTGCGATGGCAGACATATCTTAGGTTGCTGCGACAGACAGCAGAGCCAGACCAGAGTCTGGTGATGCAGTTCCACTGAAACTCCGCCGGAGTGCGGGAACCCCTTGCCCATTGGCTATGGAGTCAGTTAGCACTTTGCGGGGGAGAATAAAAGGAGCAGTTTCCGAGGGAGAGAGTTAGGGGACTCAGCTAGACTAGTAAAGAAAAAGTGATTTAGATGTGTATGTGCAATATAACATTGTGCTACCAGATGGCAATGTACAGTCCCATTTTTCTCTGTTTCCCCCATTTAAATTTACACTTTAAACTGAAATACTTCAGTTTGACTGGAGTTGGGAGTTAGGGAGTGAGAAAAGGAGAACTGGTTCTGAGTGAAGTGAAACATACACACTATCAATAGCAAGAGGACAGAGCCTTGCAGCTTGGATAGGGAGATCGGGTTGAGGGTCTGGGAAAGGTATACAGATAGGAGCGTCCTGGGAGGGCTGAGTCTGAGCTGGGAGAAGTAGATCCTGTGGGAATTCAGGGTATCTGGGTCTCCGTATAGCCAGGAGGGGAGAGTTCTTCTAGGTACTGAAGATGCCCTAACCAGTGACAAGGGGTGAGGTGATCCCCTGGGTCTGTTACACCATTTAGAAGACCTCAGGCGTGGGGTGGTTAAGAGAGTGGGTAACTGAAGAAAAGTGCCCCTTGCTCATGAACCAAAGTATTAAGCTGTGAAGGAAGCTGTACGGTGTTGAAAGTATTTAACTGTAATAATCCAAGTGACAGAAACCGAGCTGAGCATTTTACCATCTGTTTCGGAAACCTGAATATTTTATCACCTGAAGTGTAACACCTGATTTTTAGTAACTGAAGTTTAAGAGGAGCTGTGCCTACAGTGTTTTGTTTAAGCCTGAGAAATCTTTAAGTTAAAGCAAACAAGTTAACTTCTACCTGAAGGAACACATTTTCTGACTTTTGTTCAATAAGCTTTTCTTGTGTTTGTTTGTTCAACTCCTGTCTGAGACTCTAAATCATTAAGTTTTCCCTCATACAAGTCCCCCACTAGACAATCTGTGGTAAATTGTAAAAGTTTGTGTAACTGGTGTACCCTGAGGTGGGTGGCTATATATCATAAAGGGCAGTTAGCAGATCTGCCACCTTATTATTTGGTGGTATTAAGTGGTGGGTCTGTTACAGTTGCATTCACATCCTGTATTTAAAGCTCCATACCGCTTTTCAACAGTCATGACTTCTCCCAAAGAATTCTGGGAGCTGTAGAGTTCCCTGAGAAGTGTTTTGGTTGTTCAACCGCTCTTGAAATTGTAGCTCTATGAATTCAGGGGATTTTTAACAACTCTCGGCACTTTTAACAAACTACAGCTCCCAGAATTCTTTGGCGGAAGTCCTGACTGGTATTTGAAATGTATGGTTTGAGTGTCGCCATAGTTCCACAGTGCACATTGCAGACTGACAGTCCATCCCCTGTTAATCTCTCTTTGTGGTCTAAAGTTGCAAATGCACAATCCCCGTGTGCCCACTGTGAGGTGGTACAAACCACTGAAAAATCTATTGCATGTACACAGCAACACATTTGGATAACCTACAAGCTCCTAAGGTACCTTCCTTATTTCTGTAAACTAAATGGGGGTTAAAAAAAGAAATTGAATTAAGCACAACTCTTTTAAGACAGTTAAGGAGTGTGACATGAAGCACTGGGTAAGACACAAACTAGTGCAAGTGGGTGTCTGCTTGTGCAATGGGGATTCTCCTTCCTCTTCTCCTCTCTCCCTGCCCCCAAATCTGCCGTAGGTGGTTGGAATACAGCCATAGCACTTTTTGAGGGCATGTGGAAGGTTCTGGGAGACAGAGAGAAGAGAAACTGGAATTGTTGCAGGATCAAATGTCCATTGTGCAATCAGGCAGACATAACTGGATGTCGCCCACTGTTATGCTGTTAACATTTTTACACCACTAATGTCTCTGGTGTATGGGTTTTGCAGTGTGTTTCAGAAACACTGAGTAAGTGATATTTGTGTTAATGCTTACACCCCAGTAACAAGGCTACTATCATCTTATTATCAACCCTCTAAGGAAGAGGGAAAAGACCCTCGTTATCTTTTCCCACTCAAACCCCTTCCTGTTGAGTAACACAACTGTACCCTGCTTTTCTGTACACTGCTTAGGAATTCTTTAACCAATTTATACACATATAAAATTCTAAATAAAATACAATATGTAGTTTGTAGTAGGCAGGTACTAAATTCCATTAAACCTTTTTTGGGTCTATATTTGAGAACAAGGCAATAATGTTCTTGATTAAAATGGTACCACCAAATTGTTAGGTTTCCCAATGATTGTGCAATATTAAATTACTACTGCTCTCCAAGGCTACTTTTAAAAAAATACTTACATTGTCAGATAAACTGAACAGCACAAACAGATGCTGCAGGTAACATGAATAAATAAACTGTACAAAATGAATGATGCTTCTCACAGTTACTGACAGGTTTAAAAGGCGAAGTCTGCCACAGTCAGGTGGACCTTGCAAAAATGAGATGCAAGTGTCAGCAATGCTGAAGCAAGATTACAATTTCCATCACCTATTCAAGCCATGCCAATTTGTTTTTTGATGCATACCTCTTACATTTTCTACTTAAGGGATATCCAGCAACCAGATGTTAAGATCTTGTATCTTTAATACATTTGCCTCCTGCGTCCAGGCATTATTGAAGGAGAGCCACTTTATCAATAAATGCCAGGGTTTCCATACAAACTCTAAGAATATTTCAACCATTTCACATTTCTGGGTGTTTGCTTTTTCACCTTTGAGTTCAGCTGTGGAGCAATGCTGCCACCTATGGAGGCTGTAAAGAAAAGTCCCACAAATAAAAATGGAGAAAGTGCAAGACAATTGTTTGGACCAGAAACAAATGAGAAGATGGAGTATACCAAAAGCATTTTGGTAGCTGGATTTAAAAACAATCGAACAGATGTGTCATCATTTAGACCTGGGCATAGACTTCTGCTATTCACTGTGGCTACTTTCCCAAATGAACCAAGGAAGGGGAAGAAGAAGAAGAAGAAGGAGGAGGAGGAGGAGGAGGAGGAGGAGGAGTTTGGATTTGATATCCTGCTTTATCACTACCCAAAGGAGTCTCAAAGCGGCTAACATTCTCCTTTCCCTTCCTCCCCCACAACAAACACTCTGTGAGGTGAGTGGGGCTGAGAGACTTCAGAGAAGTGTGACTAGCCCAAGATCACCCAGCAGCTGCATGTGGAGGAGCGGAGACACGAACCCGGTTCACCAGATTACGAGTCCACCGCTCTTAACCACTACACCACACTGGCTCGGAAGGAACATGTCAATGTGAGACTCAAATACCAAAGGCATAGCAAAAACATGGAAACCAAGTGCTGTAAATTAATAGCTTGCATATAGTGTGTGGGAAATCTTTTTTGCCTGAGGGACAGTTCTCCTCCCCTCCCCCCATCTCATAGGGCCACCCACCTTTCAATCATCTGGGGCAATGATTGAACTTTTTGCTCAGCAACTGATGAATGTGCAGTCCAATTCTGCTCTCTGCAGGGGTCTGTTTTGCCAGCAGGATTGAACCCCAGTGACCTCAGCTGACTGACAGGCAGATGTGGCTCGGGGTAAATGCCCTCGTGGGCCAAATTAGATCTACTGGTCAGCAAAGACCAGTCTACAAACCAGAAGTTCCTCACTCCTGTTGTATTCACTAGGCAAAACACTCCCACACAGCCCCAAAACGAATAAAATACAGACAAAAAAACCAAACAACACCCCTCATGCAAACAAAAAAGAAGCAAATTCAATTTAAATTTTAACATTGGGAGGGGCAAGCAGCTCTGGCTGGCTCCAAGGGAGATGTCTGAGGATATAGTGGTGACCACTGGGGCCCAGGGTTTAAATATGTATCATCAACTGTAAATACAGAACTAGGTAAATGTCACATTGTATTAAATTAAATGGCATACAAGGATCTGACTGCATGTGTGTGTCATTAGATTCAGTGCAGAGACTGCTCCCCCCCCCCAAGACTTCTGTTTTCAAAGACCTGATGTGCCCTATGCAACAACACACATACACAGAAAAGGAAAACGCAGACTCACCATTTTTCATCTGAAACATTTTATGTACAAATCTACACAAGTGTGGTAACTCCCCACCCTTCCCCATTAACTAGTCAGTGTATCTGTTGTGTATACTCCACGTATACACATCATAAATCAAATTAGATTATGAAAATTCATTTACATATATAAAAGAGCTGTTCAAATAGTAATAAAAATGGCACTAACCCTGCAACAAACGTTATTTTTTTTAAAAAAAATCAAATCTACAGGCCATTTGTAGTTAAATGACCGCTACAGCTGTTCCCAGCAGCAGTAATTGTTTCTGATTCAAATACCTAAAATTTCCCTTGCAATTGAGTCTGATTTGCAGCAACTACAGACTGTAAAGTATTACAAAGGTTGCATTATGCATCTCATATTACCTGTTAAACTAGGTTCCAGATTCATAAACTATTCTGCCTTTAAAATTTCCTCTTTACCAGAGATGGCTAGTGGGAAACCCCAGTTATGGCTGCATGCCAATCAAGGAGAGAAGGGAAAGCCATCCTGGTAGCCATGTGGACTGTGGCAGGAGAGGTAAGAGTTCCAGGAGCTTCCACCTTAAGGATGCAGGATTCACAGCCCTCCAGATGCTGTCAGACTACAACTCCCATCAGCCCCTGCCAGCATGACAAATGGCCAGGGATGATGGGAGTCCAAGAACACCAGGAGGGCCAGAGATTCCCTGTGCTAGCTAGTTCCTGCTTGGACAAGCTTTCTTCTCCTTACTTTACTGACCTGAAACAGTCAAATCCCACCAAAGTACGAGATCATGAAGGGTGAGGCTTTGAAAACCAATACGGTCATTTTATGGCAGGAGATTAGGTCGCAGTTCCCTGGGAATGTTGCAAGTGAAGATACCACTGAGGTTTGTGCTTCTGAACATCTGACTCTTCTGATAGCCTATTAATTGTGGAGCAAGAGAAGCTAGAATAATTTCAGTGACACGGGAGCACATGGTTTGTCGGTGGTGCAAGAGCTCATAGCTACTGCCAAAAATGAATGTCAGTAATACTCCCTTGTTGAAAATAGGAAGGCATCTTAAGACTTGCACCCTAGAAGTAATACATTTCATCCTCTTTTTGTCATTATTTATACAAGCTTAATTTCTGTTGATTTTGTTTCTGAAGAACAAAACGCAAAGGTCAACATGTCCTTGCAGACATCTGCTGTGAGCCCCACCTACATAAGGTAAATGCTCATCTGCATACAATTAGCCTCACCCCTTCCACTGTAGGGAGAAAAACACATCTTTATGTTCAACCACAAGTGAATTGCTTTTTATGACAACTTTGTTGTTAAAAGAATGCTTAAGCAAAGCCCAAGACCATACCTTTCATTGTGAGACTTTCAGCCATGTTAATCTGCACAGAATGCACAACAGTGTGTTCAACGACTACACTGTAAGCTTCAATGTGAGTATGCTGAAATTAAAAGGTCATGAATATTATCTTTGGACTTCACTGACTTTAGACAATACTGAATTGAAAACATTATCTGTGCATATGTCTAAGACATTGGGGGGATATTTGACCCTTGAATGATCACTGATATGACTAGTCACATTAATACCATACATGGAGACACTATACATGGGTTCTTTTCCCAACCTGCGTAGATTGCCCAGTGTGAGTATTGCACTCATCACACAGAAGCATTTGTATTCAAATTTTCACACTATTGTCAACATGGAATTATGAAAGAAATGCCTAATATGTTATGGAACTTAAGTTCCATATATATTTCCTTTCCCTAGAATGCTTATATTTGTAGCAGCTCATTAAGAATTGAGAAGACTGTGGAATCTAGGGTGGTAATACAGAGATTTTCTTTGGTATACTGGCTTCATAGCAATACATTTTTCATCACAATGATCACAGGAACTGTTTCCGGGTAAAGATAGTTTTGTCAGTATTATGTCACATTAGCTTTCCCATATGAATGTGTTTCTGGGGACAGAAAGGGTAGGTACATGGTTTTGTGTGTCTTAAACAAATGCATGTAGTAAGTTTGTGTGGCACTCTTTGTGCCACTATTGTTCTGATTACATAGGGAATACAAGCACCATTTATAATTTGGATGGCCCAATGAAGGAACATCTAATTTTTACAGATGTCTTCGTTAAGAAAATTGACCCTTCATTGGAGAAATGAAGCCATAACAAGCAATCTGAAAGTAATGGGAATTAGATGGGACCATACCAAAGGCACAATGGTTCCCATAAGAAAAAAGTTCTGTACATACTGTTCCTGTGCAACAAAATCAGTTAAGATCACACAGCTACCTGCCCTGCCAGTTTTGCTACAGTAGTTTGCATTGACTTGGGAGAAAGGGAGAAGGCTTCCTGTAAGCCAACTGCAGCACTGCCAATGCCCCTTAACAGTGCAATATTTGTGACGTATCCAATGAATACATCACGCTTTTATTTTGGTGCACGTGAGCATTAGTTTTACAAAAAACAGTCACAGTTATCTCTCTGTAAATTAAAAAAAAGTCAGCAGTTTTTAGATTTTATAACCCACTCAGCATTTGGGTTTAGCTGATGCAAATCCTTCATGTAGGTATCATCATCCAGGCAGCGTTCACCTGTTAGGAAAACACATATATTATGTAAAACTACAGATTATTTTGAAAATGATTAAGATAAGACTGTATGCAAATAGGAATAAGTCCTATTGAGCTTAGTGGAAGTTGTTTCTGTGTCAACATGCATCGGATTATGGAAACAGAGGAAATGAGGACCAACCAAGGGATAAAACAAAACCACAACTTTATTAACTCTGATTGAGTTAATAACTGAAGCAAACCATAACACCTAAATCACACAGTGATCTCAGCAGATCAGATGCTGAATTCTAAGTGAGTTCCACACTGGTTCAGAGACAGAAGGAGTAAAAACCACTGAGCGGTCAACTGCCATGCTTTGTGGTACACTTAGGGAATCCATACTAAATTCACCCTCCAAGCCAATTACTTTTAGATGGGCAAGTCCAGCATGCCCCCAGCTTCCTCACCCCAATTGTCTTGAAAGGATGGTGACTTTATGTTTCACCTTAAGGAGCACACCAATCTTTACTGCTCTCTCTTTTACTTGTACTATTCCAGCAGTTGTGAACGTATAATGATAATCTAATTAATTAGGCCCTGTGCAATACATCTCCCCTGCTGAGAATCCTACTCAGCTCTGAAGCTGGTCAGTTAATACCATACCATGGCTAAAGGGGGAGTGGGTGGGTGCTGACCTCCCTACAAACCTATTGCCTGTTTTTTGAGGCAGTGCTGATTAATACAGCCCTCAACCCTCATTGGCTGCCACTGCATGAGGACACACATTGCCAATAAATCCTCACCTCGTTCTTCCTACTCCTGTACATTCAAACCTGCACATCAGGGTACATTCAAACCTGCACATCAAGCTAGAAAGCTTCTAGCCTAATTCTTGACATACGTCACTTCCAAAACAATAGATATTGGGGGCACTTCCATGCAAGAAATTACTCATACACCTGTATGAGGTCATTCCAGCTGCAACATGTGCTTTAAGCAAAGTTTGAAACCAGTCTACAATGTAAAGAGCCTTACCAATGTTCCCTCCAACTTCATATAAAAACACTTCTTCTTTCTTCAGAGACTGGACGGTCCCACTACAAAGGAATGCAACAAAATTATTCAGCAGAGTACCAAATAACTTGCAACCAAAAGCTACTAGATGTGCTTAGGAAAAGCTCTACAGCTCAGGAGATTTGCCAGTGCGCTAAAATTATCTTGCTATCTTTCTCCATCTGTTAACTTACTGAATAAACATCTCATATTGGGATGATTAGAAAAAGGAGCTACACGCTACAATGAATTGCATGGAAACAAAATTACTTGTAGAAACTCATATACTCAAAGGTCCACAAAGGTGATTTGTGGAATCCTATAGTCCCCAAGATGCCCTCACAGAGACCCACAGCACTGTGCCCTAAATATACACTGGTCCCTTGAGCTTAATTATGTCAGGGTACGTTTGTTTTTTTCTTGCTGCAGAATCAAGTCAACACAAAGAAGAAGTAAAAGAAGAAGAAGAAGAGGAGAAGGAGGAGGAGGAGGAGGGGGAGGGGAGGGGGAGGAGGTGTGGTGGTGGTGGTGGTGGTGGTGGTGGTGGTGGAGTTTGGGAGAAAATGAGAGACAGAAATGCTTGTACAGTACCTTTTTTGGCTGAGGAACCTGGCCACTACATCACAAGCTTTTAGTTCTTCCGTCAGCTGGATTGCCATGGAAACTTTGGAAAGATGAGGCGCTTGCACCCATATTACTCCCTGAGGAACATCAGCCTGCAAAGCAGTAATGGCATTGGAATGGAGCAGCTTGCAGCTGGCTTTGAGGAGTTTCTCCAAACATAGTGCAGAATAAATAGTTGGGACAGCTCACGTACTGAATACTCAAGTTAGGGATATTGTATGGAGAGCAAGATGGTGGGGTGGGTGGGAATTACCAGTTATACAATTTTGCAAAATGCTTACAGACGCCTATATTTTACATTGTTACCACCACATTTGCACAGTCAGGGCACATTATGAAGCATGCTTTTGTGATCTTACATTTGCACATTAATCGGATCCTGTTGTGCACCGGAAACTAACAAAATATTATTCTTAATTGTACCTTAGGTTATTATAAGAACATTTCTGAACCAATTAGATATTTTTTAACCAAATGTGAATTCTCTTTTCAGTTATACTACAGACCTAAAGAAAAGCTTTTATGCAACTCTTAATTGCAAAATGTGAAGAAATGAGTTTAATTTCAAATTCTGACTGAACTATCTCGTATCAAATTATAAAATGAAATTGCTTTTAAAATCTTAGGGTTCTTTCCTTCTTTAAAATCCAACACATCCTACATAAAATTTTATTAAAACCTATCTTATTAGTTGTAATCCTTGGATAACCTCTGGAAGGTTTTTGCTACTATAGCCTGGCTTCTCATATACTAGATTTAATAACGTGAAAGAAAGCATTAGGAGTGCCAGCAGAGCAGGTGTATCCACTTCTCAGCTTGTAAAAAAAAAAAAGAATACAAACTTTTTTATTACAGAACAGAGGCACAGATAATAAAGGATAGGTGAGTTAGGAATCTATATGTAGAGGGTTACAAAGTCTTCCTATTAATGTGTAGGGCAAGAAACCAATAGCTTCCAACTCCTTCCAGAAACTGTAGTAATAATAATTTATGTTGCCTTCCTTTAGTGCCTGCAGGCCTGATATGGGTCCCAATTTGGCCTACAAGGCCATTTCCCCCAAACTACGGCCACTTGCCCAACAACTGATGTTATATGTTGGTGCCAATTGTTGGTGGTTGCAAAGTGTTGTGCTTATCCAACAGCAAGATCCACAGTGCCTATCAGCTGACTGGTGCTGGCAGCTGGGATCAGCTACACTGGGATCAGCTACACTGCAGAGCTACTGATCAGGAAGCAGAGGACGTACAGTCCTTTGCAAGCCCCCCCCCCCCAGATGATTCCCTTTCAAAGCACTGCCTTTACCCACAACCGTTTGATTTCAAGCCACATGGACAAGGAAAACAGGTCCACTGACACCACTATGATTGGTCCCAGGGGACTGACAGGTTGGTTAACACAGGGTGGAAGAGATAAGGATCCACCCCTACTTTACTGCATCACTCTATATTCCTAATGGCCAAGCTGACTTTTGCCATTACTGGATAGGTCTAGACCAGTGTTGGCCACACTTGGGTCTCCAGCTGTTTTGGGACTACAATTTCCATCATCCCTTACCACTGGTCCTGTTAGCTAGGGATGATGGGAGTTGTAGTCCAAAAACAGCTGGAGACCCAAGTTTGGCCACACTGGTCTCGAGAAATAATGTGTTCAGTATCAAGATGGCCTGAAATGACTGAAGCCAGCTATATCCAGTAGATGTTTACACAACACACTGAAGGCATGCTGTGTAATGAGCCCCACTTGCCTTCCTGCTACATCGTCAGGTGACAGCCTGAGTCACCTTGACTTGTACTGCGGTGACCAGGGACAAAGAGTGCACTCATTAAAAGACAATGGGAAAAGGGAATCAGAGAAGGTGCTAGATCTTCTTACTCTCCTGAGGTTCCCTCTTGTCTATACAGCTGCATACAAAGCGCATGGCATGCTGCACTATCCAAGCCCATGAACAATAACAACTTTTTATTTTCCAAGAGAATTCAGTTTAAAATTTTAGATTTGAAATTGCTGCAATTAAGAGAGCTGACCAAATTTTGAGGATTCTGCATGCTGTGCCCTAGATACATATGAAGCAGTGAGCTATAAGGCCTAATTTTAACATCAAGAGGCCACAGTTGGGATAAGGGTAGGGGAACCCTTTTCTGCTTTATTGTCGGATGCTTTGTCTCCCAAACTCCCTCCCCCAGCCAGGTCAGAAACTGGAATGGTGGAGCACAAGGAGTTAAACTGGGAAAAGGTTTACCTCCTGCTCTTATTTTATATTTAAAAGTTAAATACACAACACCCCAAAAATTTGTAACAAAAATGCCTACCATAACCACATCCAGTTTGGCCCCCAATATGCCAATAGATTATAATGAATAATCATTATTATAACGTGATGAGCCAGTGCAATTTTGCATTCTTCCACAAGATGTCTCTAATTCACTAAATTGTGAATATGACTTTAGTTAATGATGGGCTACACACATCCAAAGAGAATCTGCATTCAGAATACAGATCACGTATGTATTCTGATATTTGATCTTAACACAGGCTGGATATAATTAATTAGAGATAAAGTTATGTTTAACCAATCGATAACAACAGACCAGCAAGTGTTTACCCCAAAACGCTAGTGACTGAATTGATTTGTACCTTTTTAAATATATATATAATAAAGATATTAATATTATTATTATTATTATTATTATTATTTATATATATTCCATACTTTAAAAAGGGAATGGATTTTGTTTCTTCTGCTGCTGTTCTTACAGATACTTCCATGACTGTTTTTAGAGACTGTGTTCTAAAATCACTTTATTGTTTATTGGCATTTATGTGGTGCACTAATCTGGATGCCAAACTGACAGAAGAAATAAACTTCAATCATTTCAGAGGTGCTCTTCTACTTTCCTCTGCTGAAACAAGTATGCAGTTTACACCCTTGCTCAGGGCCATGAATCTTTACCTTTCACTCTGAAAGTGAAGCAAGAAAGCTAGGTACGACTGAACCATGACAGTTTCGCAACAGTAAGCAAGCGCTTTGGAACGTTCAAGTGTTACAAATATAGGCCTTCCAAACTGGAACATCTAGCCATTTTGATTATCTTAGTAACTAAATACATGTTATAAACCCTTCTTTGCTAATAGGCAAGGCACTGTTTTAATAAGATCATGTTTTTCAGATAATTACATTTATTCATCAAGAAAAGGCAAATTGTAAATATGGAAGCACTGCTATTTTATCACTATCACTAGCTCTGGTAGTTCCAATTGGAGAACAGCCTTTACCGAAGGTGTCATGGGCTTTGAAGACACTCCAACTCAGGACGCAAGGGAGAAACATGCTAAGAGGAAGGCATGCTTGGCAAACCCCCACCGTGATTAACTCCGGCCCAGAAAACTATGTCCCCACTGTGGAAAGACGTGCGGATCCAGAACTGGCCTCCAAAGTCATTGTTAAAACTGTGTTTATGGAAGACAATCTTACTCAGCTACAAGCAATCGCCGAAGAAGACGACGACCTACTCTAATTTACTGAAAGTTACTTGCTTACCTCATTGACACTTTTTACATCATTGACATTTTTATCTTGCTTCTCGTGCTTTTCACGGTCATAAGCCATTTTCTTCAGCAATTTTTTCACAGCTTTGTCCTTTTTCTCCTTTTTCTGACTTTCAGTATTTTGCTTTCTTACTTGGTTCACAAGGAATGTAGGAATCTAAGCATAAAATCTATTATTAACACCATTGATACAGTCGGCTCCTATAAACAAATGTTTATATCCTCCTAGTGACAAGACATATCAAATATGGAATATCAAACACCAATATTTATGTCAAACAAGAACAGAATTATATTGTTAAAAATGAGACTCAAATGATAGATGCAAAGACACGGTATGAAATATAATTGCACAGAACCTCTTCATAGTAAAACCATATAAGGTGTAGCTAATCATCTCAGGTCAGTTTTTGTACAAGTAACAGGTCTATATTGGTGTTGTGAAATCAGACTGCCGCACAAGCAGTTTCTCATGAATAGTGCTCTGCCTTCCATATTGTTGTCTGCATGTGTGAATAAACCCACAGAAGGGCAAAACTAAGCTTTCAACACTAACGTATATGGAAATAACCAAGATATAACAAAATATGGCTCTAATTGTATAATTTATTCATTCTAGAATTTGTTTCCTGTCTTTCTGTGTAATGCATACTCAAGGCAGCCTACAACCATTTAAACATGATTAATAATATAACAATTACATTTCTAGAAGAGAAAATCTCTTTTCCTTCAGTGAAGCTTTTTTAAAAAATCTGTTGGGTGTTTTTATTTGGTTTATTGTATTTTTATATTTTTAATAATAATAATAATAAATTTTATTTATACCCCGCCCTCCCCAGCCAAAGCTGGGCTCAGGGCGGCTAACAACAATCAAAATAATCCAACATTCTAAAAACCTTTCATTATAAAAATTAATTAAAATCAAATTGATGGCAACCATTAAGCAAAATTCTGTGCAGACTGCCAGCGGAGGGGGTCAGGCTGCGCCTTGACCAAAGGCCTGGTGGAACAGCTCTGTCTTACAGGCCCTGCGGAAAGATGTCAGGTCCTGCAGGGCCCTAGTCTCTTGTGATGTTTTTATTTGCAGACCGTAAGTTCTTCTGTGGGACATACCAGGAGAGGCGGTCCCGTAGGTACAAGGGTCCTAGGCCGTATAGGGCTTTAAAGGTTAAAACCAGCACCTTAAACCTGATCCTGTACTCCACCGGGAGCCAGTGCAGCTGGTATAGTACCGGATGAATGTGATCTCGCAGCGAAGACCCCATAAGGAGTCTCGCTGCGGCATTCTGCACCCGCTGGAGTTTCTGGGTCAGTCTCAAGGGCAGCCCCATGTAGAGCGAGTTACAATAATCCAGTCTGGAGGTGACCGTCGCATGGATCACAGTGGCTAGAGAGATAAGCCTCACAGGGCGAGAGAGATAAGGAGCCAACTGCTTAGCTTGGCGGAGATGAAAAAATGCCGCCTTTGTTATAGCTGTAATCTGCGCCTCCATAGAGAGGGAGGTATCGAAGATTACACCCAAACTCTTAACGGACGATGCTGGCACTAATTGCACCCCCGCAAGAGATGGGAGTTGCCAATTATGTACTCCATCCATATTTTGAACTACATAAAACAGGCATGTTTTATAGCTTACGCTGACCTTTTTTTTTTTAACACAAACTAGCTCAATATTATTAATTATTAAATTTGTATATCTATGTAGCTCTTACATCCAGCTGCTCAGAATGAATCGAGTCATCTGCATTGCGTGTGTGTATGTATGTTTGTGTGTGTGTGTGTGTTCAGTAAAATTTGTAAAATGGTGGCCCTTCTGTTTCAAACAAGTCTCTAATGCAGAGCTTTCCAAACTGTGTGTCACGACACGTTAGTGTGTCGGCCGCAGTGTGTAGGTATGTTGCACAAACTCTCCCCACGCTCCTCTTCCATGTTGCCGTAGTTTAACCTCCAGTTTGCTAGTAAAACTGAATTACTATGTTGTGAAATGATGCATGTCTAAAAATTGTGTCACCAACATGAAAAATTTGGAAAGCTCTTCTCTAATGACAATAAGCACTTTTAAACAAACTTACAGTCCATAAAAGGTTTTGGTTTCTAATCATAAAACGCATGACATTTGCTGTCCCAGCCGCCATAACAAACTCGCTTTGCTCTGTGTTCTTTGAGCCCAAACCATGAAACATGAAGATGTTTGGAGCCATAACCATGGCAACATTCTTTAGGGTCATTTTATTTTTATCTCGGTGATCAATTACCCTTTGAAGAAATTCAAGCAGTGCCTGAAAATGAGAACAGCATTGGCAAAGTAGGCATGTGCAAACAAACAAGAAACATGCTCAAATAGTGCGCTTTTTAAAAAGTACATGCACAGTGTTAAATCAACTAGTAACTTCAGTGGTTAAACTAAACAAGTGATTTCTCCAAAAATCAAAGTCAACTTCCTTTTACTTTCAGTAAAAAGAAAGGTAGGCATCTGAAATCTTTATTCTGGATCAGAGATAGCCAACATGGTGTCCAATAATAATAATAATAATAATACCTTTATTGTCATTGTACAACCTGTGTACAATGAAATTAAACCAGCCTTGTTTAACTACAACTTCCATGAGCCCAAGCCAGCATGGCCAAGGGTCAGGGTGATAGGAGTTGGATTCCACCAACATCTATAGGAAACCACACTGGCTATCCTTCTTCTAACGAATATACTGCTGACTAAGTCAAGCATATATTACATATTCAAGGTTGCCCTAGATTTTGTTTAGCTGTACTCTGGTTCTTTGCAAGACCAGCAGTGACCCTCTCTGTGGGCTGCCTAACTCCTTAAAGGTAAATTTGTGTTAGTGGTTGTGAGATTTATTATGGGCCTGAGAAGGGACCTTGTAGGCCATCTAGTCTAGCAGCAAATCCAGAGGTAGAGTATCCATCAATGGCTGTCCAGACCCTACCTGAAAACCTCCAGTGTGGAACAGTCCATCATCCCTCTAGTTAATTAGTTTTATTGCTAAATTGCTCTTATGGTCAAGTGATTTCTCCTAATGTTGAATTGATAGCTATCCTCTAAGCCCATTAGATCTGAGGCAGCAGAGAACAAGTGAGAGCTTTTCTGATATTTGAGGAGTGCTGCTACCATATCAGTCCTAGGGATGCGGGTGGCGCTGTGGGTTAAACCACAGAGCCTAGGACTTGCCGATCAGAAGGTCGGCGGTTCGAATCCCCGCGACAGGGTGAGCTCCCGTTGCTCGGTCCCTGCTCCTGTCAACCTAGCAGTTCAAAAGCACGTCAAAGTGCAAGTAGATAAATAGGTACCGCTCCACCGGGAAGGTAAACGGCGCTGCTCTGGTTCACCAGAAGTGGCTTAGTAATGCTGGCCACATGACCAGGAAGATGTACGTTGGCTCCCTCGGCCAATAAAGCGAGATGAGCGCCACAACCCCAGAGTCGGTCATAACTGGACCTAATGGTCAGGGGTCCCTTTACCTTTTTACCATATCAGTCCACTTATTCAGAGTAAACATACCCCATTCCCTTAACCTCTCCTCAAACGAAAGGTTTCCATACCCCCAACCATCCTTTCTGAAACCATTCTAATTTGTCCACATTCTCCTTTGAAGTGTGGTGCCAAGAATTAGGCCCTGCACTTACACCTTTCCCGCAATCAAGATTCCAGGCCTATCCTTGTGGTAGAAGCATGGCTCTGGAACCCCAACTGGGGAGGAAGAGAAGTGGGGAGTAGCCCTAGTTGCTGTAGGTAGAAGTGTAATTGCAGAAGTGCTTTTTTAATGGTGAAGTCTCAGGTCTAACCTTAAGAGTATCTCTATTTCCGTCTGGGAGAAGGAGGACCAAAAGATTCAGTGCTTGCAGCTGATGCTTCTTCGTTGGAAGTTCTGTCAGTGAAACATGCAAATCTCAATTTGTGAATATGTTTTTGAATCATTTTGCATTTTCCTCAAAAATATTAATGTTTATGGATTTCTCTTGGTTATCTTCACAGGTAAAAAGCAACCAAGACATTTTGGCACCTCAGGCAAACCACAAAATGGCACCCCACTCCCCGTCAGGTAAGAAGGGGGGATGAACATCAACATCAGGAACAAAGGAAGTATAAACATCTACATTGGGATTGACAGCCCTGTGAATCCTGCCGCATGAGGCAGTCACCTCATCTTGTTTTCCCATTCTGCTTCATGACTCAACTGCCACAAGATCCATTATTACAAATTTTGGGATTCATGATTTCCCAAGTAATGCCTTACTTTTGCTACTTTGTTACATAATGTGGGAAGAGTTTGGATTTGCTATCCCACTTTATCACTACCTGAAGGAGTCTCAAAGCAGCTAACATTCTCCTTTCCCTTCCTCCCCCTCAACAAACACTCTGTGAGTTAAGTGGGGCTAAGAGACTTCAGAGAAGTGTGACTGGCCCAAGGTCACCCAGCAGCTGCATGTGGAGGAGCGGAGACGTGAACCCGGTTCCCCAGATTACGAATCTACCGCTCTTAACCACTACACCACACTGGCTCTCACATAATGTAATGCTTATTAATACAGTATTTAGTAGACCAAAGTAAAATCCTTCACAGATGAAACATCCATTTATGCCCACGACTATGAAAGGAATTTATGACAGTCAGTAAAAAGAATGGCTTAGTGTCACATGCTAAAAAGCTCACTGAAGCACAATGCTCTTTGTTGACCATGCTTCTGGTATTGCTGCATTGCAAGTCATTTGTGGTGCTAAATGTAGTATGGGAGTCCCACATCTCTGGAGGATTTCTAAGGCAGCAATTACAACCAACAACAACATCATTAGGTGTGTTCAGCAAGCTTGAAAATCTCTATGTAGACATTTTCTTTAAAATGTTTACTGATAACCTAGCCATCATGGCAGACAGGGTTGCCAACTGGAATAAATTATTGGAGGGAGGTATTTGTTTTCAGATGCAAGCAAGCTAATGGACTATTTGCAGAAAATTTCATGGACTCGCTTGCCAATGAAGAATAGCCATGCCCAGAAAAGATTAATGGTGCAAGTGGTTGTTTGACTGTTCCACAACAAAGACTATGAGGGAGAACAGTTTCCAGAACTGTAGGAACACAATTCTTGTATGTGCAACATGAGATTCTACAACATGGGTTATTAACCTGTAGCCTGCAAGGCCATACAGGTATTTTCTCCCTGTGGCTCTCCAGAACTCCACAAAGTTTGTTATTTCTAGAATTATTTTTTTTTTGGGGGGGGGGGGTTTAATTACTGAGTCCTCCCATAGGTTCCCTATAGGGATGTAAGAAGGCTGACCTGGAAAAAAAGGCCTGCTCTGCATAATGACTCCCCTAATTCTGAACCAGAAGGAGTTATACTTACTTTGCACATCCTGGAAGGCCTTGAGATACTCCACAGTGAGCAGTGGTTGAGGCAGTTCTCGAATAAAGAGTTTCAGAAGACTTGCTGCATCGTGCTGTTTTACATTTTCCCAGTGGAAAGTCCCTTCATAAAACTTTGCTTCAAGCTCCTGGCAAAGATTCTAGAAGACAAGAGGCCGAAAAGTCTTTATGCACTTCACACATATATTTAATGTTTTTTAAAAAGGGGGATATGAAATCATCTTATTTATCCAAAACATCAACGGTAAAACTAGGCACACATTTTAATGTAAAAAACTGAGCTAGGTTTTTGGGTGTGTGTCAATTATATGTCAGGGCGTAGTGCTAAAAATGACGTTTTGTATTTCCTGTGTTTATATAATGCTACGTATGCAGTCAAAACAGATACTCCATTTGACAATGGATCTCCTTTGTGCTCCCTGGCCCATTAACAGTATTCAATAGCAAAAGAGGATGTGCAAAGGCGCATTCAGTGTCATGTATCAAAATGCTCTCTATTTATACAACATCTCTAGAAATATGATCAAGTGTTGCAGATGCTTGAATTCAGGTGTTCTGAATTCATTTGTGGCTCTTCAGATGATTAACACATGATGCCAATCTTCCTAAGCCAGGCATGTCCAAAGTCCATTTTGGGGGCCTAATCCGGCCCGCCGTTCGGTTCAATTCAGCCCCTGTGGCAGTTTATTTCCCAGGGTAAAATCCTAAAAAAATCTCAACAACTTCAACCCCCCAAAAAGGCTAACAACATTGGTTGACCCTATGGTCGGCCCTTACAGCCCTTCACTTCATCAAATCTGGCCCTCTTTTTAAAAAGTTTGGACACCACTGTCCTAAGTTAACAAGACACCTATGTACAGTATCTGCAATTCAACATTCAGAGCAGGTTAAATGAAGAGCTCCTGTGGTCTCCACACATTTTTCTCCAAAAAGAGCTTGCATGCATGCTTATTTGGCCATCTAAACAGAGGCTTGCAATCAACCTGCATGTTTGGACAACAGGGATTTGTATTGTATTTACCCTCCCCACTCCATTATTGCCTATTTCATCTCAATGGAGCTATGCTTCAATTTAGCCACTTTGCCAGGTCAAGATTTCTATGCAAGCATAATCCACAATTAGCAGGCCCAGAGTACACACATGATGCTAAATATGAAAACCATCTGCTCTAGATTTAAAATTTGACATGCACAGTGGTAAAAATCAGGTATGAAGTAGAAGGAAAAAAGAGGATAAGTTTTTCTCAAAAAAACAGTCCATACACAGATGCTCTCAGAGGGACTGAGAGCAAAGTCTTGTTTACCCAGGTGGCTAACCACAATCCAGGATAACATCAGAGTAATGAAGGGTCAACATGTAGGAAGAATAGAGTTAATTGTCCTTCACCCTGTCCTTAATTCAATAAAAGAATACCTATACCAACGCATACAAAAAGCCTACATTTGTGAACAAACCAGAACTCACAATGTAATAAATTAAGTTTTGGAAAGGAGGTTTCTATCACACACACTCCTGCTCAGTCACTCAGCTTTGGCAAAACCACAGTCAGTTGTCCAAGGATTAATGTAAATTTGTTTTTAAGATACGATTGTTATAATTATAAAATGTCATAAGGATCTCATGATCTTGCCACTGAACACAAGTTACCAAATTATTACTATTAACAATAAAATATATGTAATTAATCTAACACTCTCTTTCCAGAATTGAAAGATCAGTTTACCTTTACCCTTGCTGCCACACCCGGTATTCGAAGAAGCCCTTCTGTATCCAGCTTTCCTTCTTCTATATGGGAAATGAGCTGCAAATTAAAAGAGAAAGTATTTCAACTCAAGTTGGCGGCAACTAAATTGCTAGTTGAAAAATAGAAAAATTGTTCTACTGAAAACCGGAATGCAGCTGTGGCTAAACAGTTACAAGCTTTTCTGCGCACTGATGTAACTATAGGTGCCTTATATGTTTGCGTTCTGCTGAAAGCTAACTAGTCTGGAAGAAACTGACTGGTCAGCCTACTCACTTTTTGAAAAATTAGTGGTATCCGGATGCCTGGCACCCTCTTCTGATCTTGTTCTAGCAAAACTGACAGTGGGACACCAAAAAGACCAGATTCTGTAAGAAACAACGAAAGACAAACAATTGGCTTATGACAACATGAAAAAATGGTTTCATAGACTCTTCTCCACTATGTTCAGATCAACACAGTTTATAATTAATAAATCCAGACAAACAATTTACAGTCCAATCCTATGTACACTTAGCAAGGAGTAAATCCCACCGAACAGAGTGGGGTTGAATCGTATGCATATTCACCCCGAAGTAAGTCCCACTGCATTCAATGGGAATTTACTGCCTGTAAACATGCACAGGGTTGAAACATCAGCCAGCTCTGCATATTTGAATAATGCATGCTAGCTAAAAGCAAAAAGTTGCAGACAAATCCTACAAAGCTGACCCACTTCAGAATTCATTGTGAATTGATGTGTCAATAGTATTTTCAAACAGACATTATTTCTTGCTGCATACATCCCTCTACTACCATATGAATTAGGTACACTTCATCTTCTCAAATAGCAGGATTGAAATATTCTTCTGTTTTTACATTTCTGCAATCTGTCTTGGCATTAGTTGGCTATTATCGTATCTATTTTTTAAGATTTTTCAAACATTTAAAGCAAAAAAGGGGCTCCAGCAAAAATAAATATACCACAAGTAAAGAAAAGGAGGCACACTTCCAAACATTTAACCTTTGGAATAGCTCACTGACACGTACAAGATTGTAACCTCAGTCATTTCTGTTTCCTGCTGTATGAGTGGCCTGTGAACAGGGCCCATTCTCACTAAAGGGCATTAGGCAAACTATTGTCTTTGCCTTAGCTGCTCATCTGCAATATAGGAACAAAAATGCTGGCCTTTCTTTAATAGGGCTGTTGTGTAGGTTGTCGAGATAAAGATATGCAAGCCTTTGAACGTGTGAAGTACCCTCCGTCAAGTCTAAGTATTGGGTTGTATCCAATGGTTGTGCAAGTGGAAGGCAGCTTGCACAACTGATGTTTCTCTTCCCTCCTCTTAATCTCCACAGCCATGGTAGCACCACACCTTCCCACCGAAAAACCTCTCTAGAAGTGAACAGTGTGGACTGTGTTCAATGGGGAGAAACGGATTTGCTGAAAACCAAGCAAAGGGGACCTCATGCATGTGGAGCTGCCTTCGAGTCATGAAGAAAGTGGATACAGCCCTTATTATTCACAGTGATGCAGTCACCAACCATAGCTGGTGCTGAGGTAGGGATGGTAGAGTAAACCATTTGATGGAACATCTATAGGAGGCTGCTGAGTCAGACCATTGGTCCATCTAGCTCAGTACTGTCCACACAGACCACCATCAGAATTCTCCAGAATTTCAGACAGCCATCTCTACCAGATCTAACCCAAGAAGCGAAGGATTGAATCTGGGACCTTCTGCATGCAAGGCAAATACTCTACCCTGAGCAATAGCCCCTTTTCCTATGTGTTTTCCCAAATCAGAATACCCTCAGGAAAAATCACATGGAACAAAAAGTTGGGCTGAATCAAGAGGGTCTCTCTGTAGCCCTTAAAAATGCGTGATCTGCAGAGACCCTCTATTTCCCAGGGATGAAAGGAAAAATGGCTATCCTAAAGCAATATTCCATATTCAAGAAGTATTTGGCATAGCTTTAGTATGTTTAACTGGACACAGCTTTTTTAAGAATATAAAAATGGAAGGTTGTGGAGGAGGGAAGGTTCCTTTACCCTGATGTGGCTGGAAGAAGTTATGTTCTGAGCTGTGAAATGAAGATTGTATTCAGAGAACTCAACTGTACCCAGCTGTAACTCCCTCATCACTCACAGTTGCTTTCAATTATTTAGCTACTGCACTGTCGTCTCTGCTGAACCCTGACTGCAAGTTTTTGCCCAAGAAGATATTTGATTAACTGGTAACATGTTTCAGGTCCTTGTAAAACATTAAAGAGAAGGTCAGAAATACAGGCAGTTAACAAAATGGAAACGTTTCCTGTATTTCATAGGTTACTTTTAAATCTGTGCAATGCTGCTGTTTCAAATTTAGCTCTGCATTATGTTTTATTATTTCTACACCTTTTTAATTCGTATAAGCTGCACTGAACTTCAGATTGAAGGGAAAGCAAAGCGGGAATCCTCTTCATCAACCAATAAATAAATAAAATATTCCCAGTCCAGTGCATTTAACCAGGGCTGTACTTACTAGAAGCTAATCTGGAAATATACAAAACTTCAGTTTAAAAATAAAGCTTTTTAAATGTAAAAGTCGCATCTAAAGCATGCAAGTGAAACTAAATAAAAACAATGAAAAGGTTAATGGAGAATTTTCAAATATATACAGTCAAAGACACATAAATTTGCAAGTCAACAATCTCAAAATCAGTCTTAGTGGTCAACTTGCCCCAATAAAAATTCTGTTCTTTTGTGAGTTTCCCCATGCTAAACCAAGCCTATTTTACAAGATGTTGACTTTACAGATATATGCATGCATTACCTATATACACTTTTGTATTTTCAATCAGAGGAGTGGGGAAGCAACGTTGCTTTTCCTCTTTTTTAATAGGAAAAGAACTTGATTATTATGCCATATAACTTGGTGACCTCAAAATGTTCCCATTTGCTCATATCTATATTAAAGGTAAATATATATATATATAAAACCAATATGGACTGTTGGTTGGGAAGTCCAAAAGGAATCCCTGTATAAGGAGTGGAGAATGATATGAGTGTATAACTGAAGACTTATAAAGAAAAAGAAGTTACTCATTTGGATTAAATTACATGCTTTGAAAATTTGACAGGCCGCCTTTGCTCCGATGGAGGATGCCATCACTCACTCACACACACACCCCAGAACTGGAACGAAATCTCATGCCAAACTAGAAACCACAGGAAAAGGTCATAAAGCTGTAATTTTCATAAAGCGTTTGCCTAGAATAGGAACACTGCAATTATATTGTTATGTAACATAAATTACAATTTTGTTGAGAGCCTCCAAGTGCAGTCATGCTATTTCATCCCGCCCTATAGATCATAATCAATATGGATGGTTCTCCACAAACAAAAATAAATCATGGTTCAGAGCACTTTTAGAGTTAAGCTTCTAAAGATAGGCAAAGGAAAGAAATGAAACGTTCAAGCAGAGAAACAAGCATGACAGCATTAAGGACAAGCTTAGTGAAACACTCCATCAGGTTTAAAGTAGGAAGAAGAGATATAATCCTAGAAATAAGGGTGGTTGGAAACTACTACCTTTCTTTTCATGCTGCAGCCTCGTCAACCATTTGACATGATTCAGCCAGAGTTTGAATCTCTCTCTCATTACAGTCAATGCAACTTGAACGTAATTAAGTTGTATTGACTATAAGGAGAGAGCTAAGATCATGCTTAACAGGTCGCCACTAACCCTGATGGAATGCAAAACTGCTTCATATGGCATAGATTGTACCCATCCTATTCACCTGACTACATACGCCAAGCCACAACCCTTTAAAGCAAACGCATTTGGTTTGCAGGTTCTGTTGACCCCCAGTGGATACCTGAGGCCCATTTCTTCATTTAGAATACAAGAATACACAATGGGATGCATGTACAGTGGTACCTCGGGTTACATACGCTTCAGGTTACATACGCTTCAGGTTACAGACCCTGCTTACCCAGAAATATTGCTTCAGGTTAAGAACTTTGCTTCAGGATGAGAACAGAAATCGTGCTCCGGCGGCGCGGCAGCAGCGGGAGGCCCCATTAGCTAAAGTGGTGCTTCAGGTTAAGAACAGTTTCAGGTTAAGTACGGACCTCCGGAACGAATTAAGTACTTAACCCGAGGTACCACTGTATAGCACACCCCACCAAAGCAAATGGGTAGTCTCAATGACCTTACTTCATTTTTGCCCCACCTTCTACAGTTTTCATGGGAAAACCAAAAAAGTTTAAACATATAGAAATGCACATCAACATAGCAGCACTGCAAATGGAAGAAACTGACCTTTGGTTTTGATTTTTATTGCTTTTTGTGGCTTCAGTTCTGTTCCAAGTATATCAAAGAGAGCCGTCAGCTCAATTAGTGCCAGAGCGTGGACCTTCTTCATATCCTGAGGGGCAAGGTCTCCAATCTTTGTTGTACCCGTTTTGTCTTTTGGCAGTCTGAAATTCTAAGAGTTAAAAATAATAGCATTAAAGTCTACTCTCTAACAAGCAACAAAAGGAAGCGGGAGCTCATGCTGCATTTCAGCGGTGCACATTATTGGGGAAGGTATTATTTTTTGCTATAATAAATTCACTTTTGCACTCCTAGTTTAAAAATTCCCTCCCCTCCCAAGCATATTATTAAAATTACAGCTTCATTGGGGACTTGTACACAGGTACCAAACTGGAGGTACATGTGGGGCTGCGGTCTCTGTGGGTAACAAAATAAGGGGTGGAGGAGTTACTGATGCCGTAGAAGTGTTTGAAAGTGGGTTACCCATACCTTGAAAGTGGATTTGGCTTTTGCCTGTTTGAAAACTGAATGCATGCCAAGAGCACTTTAAGCAATCAACGATGGACAAATAAATTCAGACTAAAGCTATGAGCACCTGATCATCAAGTGAAAGTGTTTTCATCCCTAGAAAAGGACCTAAAGCCTGGTCTAAACAGCTGAAGTAGTAAAATAGTTCCTAGAACTATAAATATTCAAACTGCAGGTGGTAATGGTGAAGGTTGCATATGTGAACACTTCCCAGCCCATTACTGAACACAGAAAACTAGATTAAGACTCTGCAGTTTCACACGTTTTCCATGAATGCCCCATTACAAACAATGCAATCAAGCATACTGTTCCTGGGCTGTACCATTTAGCCACCTCTTCTACTATTTTTGCATGCACAAATAACAGCATGTATTTATTTATTTCACAATATTTATACACCACTTGTAATAAAACCTCAAAGCAGTTTACAAAAATATTATCAGTTAAAATTAGTGAAAAACAACTATCTAAAAACAGTCAAAAGTTAAAATCAACAATAAGCTTAAAAACCAGATTAAAACACGCCAACATTCTACATATCTGAATATGTAGTACTCTCTATTTCTTTGAACTTGAAGTTCTCAAGTGTAATTTTGGAGGTGCTGCAGAAGATAAATAAATAAGAAACCCCCACAGAATGAAAGATATTAAAGCAAGACCACAAAAGCACCTACAGGAAGGAGTGTGTCATCCTCTTTGCCCTTCAAGACTTTGCCTGCTGGGTCATCTTTGAGCGTAGCTGCCTGCTCCGAAAATGATATTTCCAAGTTAATGTCCGTTTCAATCACTGGAACATCTTCTCTTTGATGATCATAATCAATATGTTGACAAGATGCTAGATGTGGTGAAAAAGAAATGGGGGAAATGGTCATTAAAGTTTAAATGCAACTTTTCCCCCTCTTCCATAACCATATTTGAGGGGAGTGCTGAATTAATCATGGATTGGCTCCAGAGATTCATGAACAGAAAATCTGCTCACAGAATGCTTCCACCTTCTGATAGGTTATGGGAGCCTTAATGAACCTCAGCTGGATCACAGTCCCCTTACCCAAGCATATAACTGCTTTGCAATCAAGGCACATTATGAAGATCACAAATTTTTAGAATCCTCCCTCCCCCTAATAATCTTAATGTTGTGCTGTTAAAAAAAAACAAACTATACTTCCTAGCATGTAAACCTCCCTGATGGCAAACCTCTATTATGTTACTGTCTCTAGCTTAACAAAGATAATACCATAACTAATGTGCAGCATCGCTCAGTTTCAAAGTTAATAAATTATCATCATTTTTCAATCATGAGGCAAGTGTGATGACTACTGCAGCTTTAAAGTTTTTGTTAAACACCACCTAATTATCAGAGATTATTATCAAAGATGAGAAAATTACTTCGCTCCCCTACTTTGCTCACTGCCCCAAACCCTAAACACACTCCCAACTTTTACTAACAAGCTTTTAGTTTTGAATTTCACTTCAAGAATATTTGGTGCCTTTGAAATGCCAGGCAATTCCTACTGCCGTTGGAAAAACAACTGCCCCCCACTATGCTCTGCTAAAACAACACTGACTATTAGCTCCTTATTACTGACGAGCCTCTGGCACAGCCCAGAAACAGGTGCTCAAGTTTGTACCCAGAAAAACTGGGGCAATTCTGCAAATGGAACAGATTTCTCTCCCATTCCAATCCTGGCAGCAGAGCTGCACTTTACAGCAAGGTTCCCAACAGCTGTAACATATCAGAATATACACAGGCTGATTTAGCTTTTCCCTTTTCATTCAGTGCTATGAGAGCGTTAGCATATGGAAATTGCCTTTCAGAACTTCTCCATTTGTAAAGGCTCATAAAGAGGCACTGGAGAAAAAAGAACCAGATGTTATGAAATTCTTAAATAAAATGCTTGGTAATTTTCCAGACCAAGATTCTACAGCAGTTTACTGGCATAAGCCCTGTGCTTTTCTGTCTGCCTCTCTGCCTTGTGCTGACCCAGCAGTTTGGCAGCAATCCCATCTTTGAAACTGTTCTTGCTAGTGAATGGCTGCCTGGTGGCTGAAGCAAGCAGAGAAAAGGCTCATTAATGCTCCTCTAAGCACATATTATTCAGCTGACGGTATCTTTCTGTTTCACAAGATTTTGTATTTCCAACTTGGCTCCTGCTTATTTAACATGTATTCAGAGTTCTGAAATATATTGATAATTAGTAATATATCCCATTTTTAATACCAAACTTCATGGGTATCATCCTTATCATTAGTGATAAAAGCAGGGCTCTTGTTTTTCTGCTTATTTGGAAGCATACCTTTCTCCTATCCCCACCCCCCAGTCAATTATATACAGGTATTTATGGCTATCGTACACAAATCCCTGTTTTGTAATTAGTCATTTTTCTGACCATGCTTCCTTATCCTACTTTTAAGATTTCCTTGTCTCTCAGACTTGGACCTAGCTGCCTTTGTATATGCTTCAAAATACAGTAAGGTTGCCAAGTCATTACTCTAGTGTCTTGAGATTTCCATAAATACATCCAAGAGTTGAGGAACTCTAGTTCCATTATGAGAGTACAACTCAGTTCAATGTGCTTTAGTTTTATTTATTATGAATTCCCAACAGCCAGATTTATATACCCATCTTAATCCAATGACTAGATTTCACAGAGCTAGTCAAATGTAATTGTTGCAATTGTTTTATTAACTTAACAATTGGGTGCAATTGTTTTATTAACTTGTTTAATCTGCTCCTTTACAGTTTTTGGAAAGACAAATTGGTTAAAGCTTGCCATTAGGGTGGTGCAACTGGGGTCCCAACACCAGGCACATAATCTGGAGAGGAAGGCACTGGCACACAGGACTGGCTGCTGCCATTGACATTAAACAAATGTTACAACTTTCATTGTGCAAATTGTTAAGAGTTTATGGATATTATGATTACCAAATAATTATTATTTTGGTCTGGTTGCTGTTTATAGAAATAGCAATGGTATTCGATCCACACTGGGAACAGTTATGGTTAACTAGGGCATTGGAGCCACAAGACTAAATCCTTGCATCTGATGAGGTTTTTTGACTTGGCAGAGATTCTGACACATGTGTTTGGGTTGTCTAAAAGACTTCTCCAGAATATGGTCCATATCCTAGAAAAAGCTTTCTTTTTTAAAAAAACAAACGTGTTCAGCAATATATCTTGTTAAGACATTTCAAAATAGAAACAATACAGAAAATTTGTTAAGATTTACCCTCTTTTGTGTCCTCCTCTTTGTTTTCTTTTGTTCTTACAGACTGGTGTTCATTGCCAATTTCCTAAAATGCAGAAAATAAAATATTCTGAATATTTATTCAGAAAATAAAATGATAGACAAGAAGCTTTGCTCCCACCTGATCTTAAGACAGACATCAGAAAAAATTGCTCTTGCATGGACATTTTCATGTTTGAATTTCATGTACAGTGGTACCTCGGGTTAAGTACTTAATTCGTTCCGGAGGTCTGTTCTTAACCTGAAACTGTTCTTAACCTGAAGCATCACTTTAGCTAATGGGGCCTCCTGCTGCTGCCACGCCGCTGGAGCACGATTTCTGTTCTCATCCTGAAGCAAAGTACTTAACCTGAGGCACTATTTCTGGGTTAGTGGAATCTGTAACCTGAAGTGTATGTAACCTGAAGCGTATGTAACCCAAGGTACCACTGTACAGAATTTATAGAAAATATTGCCAAGATTTAAAAAAAATTTTTAACACAGTCAGTACTTGAAAACTTTCAAAACTTGAAAGGCCAGAGGTTTGGGGATATATGGAGAATCCCTGCTTCAGAAGCAAGGAGCCTGTTGTCCTCCAGATGTTGCTGAATTACAACTCCCCCTGTTCCTGACCACTGGGCTGGGGCTGATGGAAGCCAAGAGCCCAACAACATCTGGGAGACAAAGGATTCCCCGCAACAGCCTGCAGGAAGAACAGCTTTTAAGCATATTGTGATGGCCAACCGTGAAGGACGTTTGGAATTTGGAAACTATGAATGAACTTGCAGTATATAACCAAAGGTATAACTGAGTTGTTATTCTGTCTGAACATGTGAAAGTTTGAAGAGCCTAAAGGGGATAGGGAAATTATTAATATTCATGTTAACAGCTGCTCAATGTACAATCATCTACATATGGAAACCAAAAGGCCCCGTGCCCTAAAAAAATGTATGATGAGGTTATGAGACCTGGTGCTCATGCTGAAACTCATAAATATTAACAGAATTGGAGGGGGCAGACTGGGAAATAAGATTTGTTTGAGAAATGGACCATTTTTGTTATGCATGGGAAACACACACACAAGCAAGTATATAAATATATAATGAAACAGTTGGAATAAGAGCACATTGTTTATAAAAAACAGTTTTGTTGGCTATACATTTCTGATTTAATTTCTTTGTGCATCCATTTAAAAAAAAAAGAATACATTGATACACACAAATATTATGCTTGGTCTTTTTAGTTCCAATTACTAGAGATGTCAGTGAGGTTTGCTGGGCTCAGGCTCAGAATTGAGACTCTGGGATCCTGTAAGGCTCAACCCAAAGGGAGAGGTGAACATTAGAAGGTTAATTCCCACCCCCCACCAGTTCAGGTTAACATATTGGGCTGGAAAAGGCTTCCCAGTGCATTCCTTCTTTGCAGAGCAGCCCCAGAGGAAACTGGTGTTGAGGGCAAAAGCTTAACCCCAGATGGGATCATCTTCCCTCGTAGTAGGGATGGGCTTTTGCTCAGAAGCCCCAGTTTTCCACAGTCCCAATCCCAGCTTCTCATTTTATCTGGGCCTCAGAATGTCAGCCAAGTTCTTCTTCCTCCCCACAAAAAGCCGGGGCGGGGGGCTCCGACTATTTCTGAGGCAAGTAGCAGAGAACTTCCCCTTTCCCTGCGGTTATATGCTTCTGCTAATACTTGAACAGGTTCTTCCAGTGCAGGGAAGTTTGCATATTAATCCAAGGTCAGGTTAGCCAGAACAGGTGCAACCACTTCTTGCTCTTGACACTATTCCACATTCCCCGTGAATAATGATATTGATAGCCTTTTAATTCAGTATGAGAGCAATCTTTCTCGTAGATTTCCAAACCCTAAACTGGGAAGGGTAAATACAAGCACACTAGCGACCTTCCCCAACCTTCCCAACAATCTCCAGATGTTTGGTACTACCACTCCTATTGGACCTTATCAGCACAGCCAAGATGGAGTTGATGGGAGTTGCAGTCCAAAACATCTGGAGGGCACTGAATTGGAAAAGGCTGCTCTACAGAGGAATCAGTGAAACCTTCTATATACATGATGGCTTCTTTCTGCCATCCATTACTGACAGTAGTTCAGACAACACTTTAAGAACATATTTGCCACCCAATCCTACGTTTGGAAGTCCATCAAATTTAGGTACATATTAAAAAATTGTCTGAAGCAGTGTCAGACCACTCAGGGTTCTCTATGTTGACTAGCAATGACACTCCAGGGTTTCAGACAAGTGCTATTAAAGCTGGCATCTTCTGAATGCAATTCAGATGTTCTATAACTGAACAAGTGGCCCTTCTGTACACATTTTGATGGGGCACATTCCCAAGTAAAGGTACACAGGACTGGAGTCCAGGGAAGTGTTTCAGATCTTTTCATTACTAGCCTTCTCTCTAGTTGTTGCTCCTTATTTGGTTTCATGCTGCAACATTTTAGCACAAAATTGCTCCAGAGGGAAACAGGAACCTTTAATCCTTGCAAGTATAAACATAATAGTGCAATTGCTGTGTGTGTTATTTCCTATTGTTTTAGTAAGTAATTGAATTTTGTAGCAGATATTTATGATTTTGAATACAGAACAGCAGCATGTGGCTAAAGGACAAACATTTAAATGAGCCTAATATGTGGCTGATGTCACCACAGGTTGAGAATGCAATTACACTGCTCTAAAAAGGAACGCACAGCACTTTTTGATTCAGTAAACAAACAAACAAAAGCACCTCTGGATAAATATTCACTTCAAAAAGGGAACTGAAGCATTAGCTACATCATCTGACAGATTATAGCATCCATAATAAATGGAGCATCAGCTGTACCAAACTAATTTCATAGTTTAATAGAACACCCCTATGTCTGGCTCTCAGGCACATAAATGAGTAAAGTCTGACATTCCCAAAATGGGAAAAGGTGTCTCCTGAACCTGTGCATCTTTCCACTCCAAGTTTTCTATACAGGAAATTATTTTTGCAGATTTGTAAAATAGGGAGTCTAACAGACAAATGGATTTCTCCTTTTCAGAACTGGAGAAAGCATCGGGATATTGAAAGTCATCCCACAGCTGAACAATCTACATGCCAGCAAATAAACCCTATGACTTGATTGGTACTTAAAGTCAGGAAAAAGGAGCTCCACCTCACCTGAGTCTGCTGCCTGAACAAACTGCTTCCCTTTGTTTCATGTGAAGACCTGTTTCACAAACTAAAGCTAGGCCCCCTTGTCAGTAAAACACAAAACTTCATCTTCTTCCTAGCAAATTTAAACCCAGCAGCACGGCCGTATCCTCTAAGCAGCATGCAACAAGCAAAGCAGCCTTTAGAAAATGCCCTCTTGTTGAGATTTGTGAAACAGTGTCTCCTCCAACTTAACCCTAATAGCCTGCATTCCTATACAGGTTTTTTTTTAAGTGAGGCTAAACCAAAAGCCACAAACCAGGAACTCACTTTTTCCTTTGACTCATTTTGCTGCTTGAAGATATCTCTCACATCAGGAACTTGGTACTGCTTGTTTTTCTTCCTCATTGTCTGTGTGACTGTCTCCACTCGTTTCTGCACGGCTGCTGCCTGTGTACGCGTCAGCGTAGCCAAAACCACCATGCTTTCTTGAGAGTCAGCAGCTGCCTCACCAAAGAGGTTTGACAAACCGGCTTCTTTTAACCACTCTTCTTCCAATTCCCCCTCTGGCCCGGACAAAAGAAGATAAAAATTAATTTGATGACATTTGCATGACCGCAAATTTGATGACATTTGCATGACCATGGGTTTGCATTATACCCAAAGTCAGCCATAGATTTCTGCAGGAAAGTGAGAGGTATATAAAAAAACCAAACTGCAAGCAGTTCCATGGAAGCTGTTCCTTATACAATTTGCACAGAAACCTTTGGTTCTTCTCCCATACATATTCCCTGTAAAATAGGATTGTGGCGGGGTTGGGGGGGAATCTGTTTCCTACATGGAATTAGAAAGCCCAGCACCAGAATTTATATACAATTGCCACATTCAATGGATTTGTACACCATTTCTGCTAGTTTGGCCTTTGCTCCCAGCTGCAACAGTGCCTTGTTTTCTTAGTACAACTCTTCATTAGTTTAATTTAATCAGAGGTTATCAAGGCTAATGGGTGATCTTACTGCAAATGGGTGATTGTATTGCAGCATCCAATTATGCTTGCTGCTGCGTTCTCTACTCCTTAGTGATTTTCAGTAAGGTGATCATTTCCTCATTGTTTCTAGATGGCAACACATTGTTTACTAAAAACAAAACGGTCCCAGCAAACAAAAAACGCAGGCCATTTGCTATATATAGAAATAACTAGCAAGGTTGTTGTTTTTTTCATGTTAGGAATATAAGAAGCTACTCATACAAAAGAGAGAATTGCAGAAGTGTGCTTTAATGTCAGAGAAATGGCATCGACTTAGAACATTTCCTAGGAAACATTTACCTGAACCTCAGCATTTGTTCGCTAAAATTAGTATAGAAAACAGAAGTGCATTCTCAGTAAAAGGGTTCTAAGGTATTATCTTTTTTCCCCCACAGCTTCAGAGTCCTTGCCAAGAAAACATGATTATATATTCATATACACACACACACACACACACACACCCTTCCAATCAGAATTTATTTTGCATAATTTTAAACATTAAAGACGCTCTATTGCGGAGTGGGGAGGGTATTTTACTCAAATGTAATATTATTTGAGAGTATGATCTTGTTCCTCCATTGTTGATAGTGGTGGTGGCAATATGTAACTGCCTCTCCTCTGTCTTTGGGCAGTAGAGGCATGCTGCTAGTGTTCCAAAGTGGCAGAGGTCCCATCATAGCCCAGTAAGTGAAGACATACCACTCACTGGCAGTTCTCCTGCCACCAGCAGTGGCAAGTGGATAGAAAGCACTGAAATGGGGAGTTGCAGGGTGGCAGCAAGTTTAGAATCATAGGATCCAAAATCCCCTGAATCCCTCAGACCCAAAGTCTTGTGGATTCCTCAAGGTGCCCATTCCTTGGGCCTCTCAACGACGCCAGCCTGGAGCAGGTGTGGTGAAACATTATGAGGAACCCCCACATTTCACCTTGGCTGACAATTGTGCTTTTTAAGAACAGTCCCCACCACACCCACTATAAATAGGGCTGAGATACCATGTACTCTATAAATAGGTCTGAGATATCATGTACCTATTAACCTACTGACTACCATATAGTCAAATGCATTTGGCAACCGAAAGGGCTGTTTATTTGCACTAGGGTGTTTAGTTGCTTTCTCTTTTTTCCAAATACACTGCATTTTACTACTGTACGTAGAAGCTGTTTTATCATTGTTGTTTTTACTATATAATTCTATAGGAATTATTGCTCTTTGTGTGATTCCGGGTACTATGGTAACCAGAATAGATATGACTTCTGAAGAAGCAAAAGAACTTCCCATTACCCTTACCAAAGCAGTGGTCAAAATCCAGTTACAGTTTATTGCAAAACAGCAGAAATGTAAACAAAGAAAAGAGGAAATTCTCTCTTGCTGCAAAAGCTTTAAAAGCACATATTGGGGCAACAATATGCATAAGTTATGAATTCAAGCAAGTACTTTCTTAAAGTATCATGGTTTTCCTCCAGCTCAGGATACTCTAGTCCACAACAGCAATTCCAGGTCCTTGAAAATAATTGCCATTACACAGTCAATGTGTTGCCAGATTTACAGAGGGACTAGTCAATTCCAACTGACCAAATCTTAAATCTATCTTGGTATTGTGGTTTCAAGCACAATAAATGAAAGATCTAAAACAGTCTTCAAAACAGAGAAACAGTTTTCTTAATTCCAGTTATAATTACCATCAGGCTCCTTCACCAGAACCACTGCTTGTTCTTCAGAGTTATTGCCTCTGGTTTCATTGATGTTTTCAAGTTCTTTCCAGTAGTCATCCATGGATAATTCATCGAGTGAATCTTGAGAACCTGAACGGTTATAAGGGGGCTTCCCTGAGGGCTTCTTAGAGTTGTCATGATTCATATTATATTGACCAGATCTCCTGCTAGAAAACACAGAAAGAGAGAGACTTAATAATGTGGTGCATAGTTTACAGTGACATCAGCAAAGCCAATTAGAAACATACCACTGGTCTTCATGCAACTTTTAACATTTCAAAATGTGACATTTTAAGTAGCAATTTGTCTTTTATCAGTATTTCTAGACTTTCATAGAATCATAGAGTTGGAAGAGACCACAAGGGCCATCGAGTCCAACCCCCTGCCAAGCAGGAAACACCATCAGAGCACTCCTGACATATGGTTGTCAAGCCTCTGCTTAAAGACCTCCAAAGAAGGAGACTCCACCACACTCCTTGGCAGCAAATTCCACTGTCAAACAGCTCTTACTGTCAGGAAGTTCTTCCTAATGTTTAGGTGGAATCTTCTTTCTTGTAGTTTGGATCCATTGCTCCGTGTCCGCTTCTCTGGAGCAGCAGAAAACAACCTTTCTCCCTCCTCTATGTGACATCCTTTTATATATTTGAACATGGCTATCATATCACCCCTTAGCCTCCTCTTCTCCAGGCTAAACATGCCCAGCTCCCTTAGCCGTTCCTCATAAGGCATCGTTTCCAGGCCTTTGACCATTTTGGTTGCCCTCCTCTGGACACGTTCCAGTTTGTCAGTGTCCTTCTTGAACTGTGGTGCCCAGAACTGGACACAGTACTCCAGGTGAGGTCTGACCAGAAAAGAATACAGTGGCACTATTACTTCCCTTGATCTAGATGCTATACTCCTATTGATGCAGCCCAGAATTGCATTGGCTTTTTTAGCTGCCGTGTCACACAGTTGGCTCATGTCAAGTTTGTGGTCAACCAAGACTCCTAGATCCTTTTCACATGTACTGCTCTCAAGCCAGGTGTCCCCCATCTTGTATTTGTGCCTCTCATTTTTTTGCCCAAGTGCAATACTTTACATTTCTCCCTGTTAAAATTCATCTTGTTTGTTTTGGCCCAGTTCTCTAATCTGTCAAGGTCGTTTTGAAGTGTGATCCTGTCCTCTGGGGTGTTAGCCACCCCTCCCAGTTTGGTGTCATCTGCAAATTTGATCAGGATGCCCTTGAGTCCATCATCCAAGTCATTGATAAAGATGCTGAATAAGACCGGGCCCAAGACAGAACCCTGTGGCACCCCACTAGTCACTCTTCTCCACGATGAAGAGGAACCATTGATGAGCACCCTTTGGGTTCAGTCAGTCAGCCAGTTACAAATCCACTGAGTGGTAGCATAGTCAAGACCGCATTTTACCAGCTTCTTTACAAGAATATCATGGGGCACCTTGTCAAATGCCTTGCTGAAATCAAGGTAGGCTACATCCACTGCGTTCCCTTCATCTACCAGGCTTGTAATTCTGTCAAAAAACGAGATCAGGTTAGTCTGACATGACTTATTTTTCAGAAATCCATGCTGACTATTCCTTTCTAGGTGCTCACAGACTGTTTGCTTAATGATCTGCTCCAGAATCTTCCCTGGTATTGATGTCAGACTGACTGGGCGGTAATTATTTGGGTCCTCTCTTTTCCCCTTTTTGAAAATAGGGACAACATTTGCCCTCCTCCAGTCTGCCGGGACTTCGCCTGTTCTCCAGGAATTCTCAAAGATGACTGCCAGTGGTTCTGAGATCACATCTGCCAGTTCTTTTAATACTCTTGGATGCAGTTCATCTGGCCCTGGAGACTTGAATACATCTAAACTAGCCAAGTATTCTTGTACTATCTCCTTAGTTATTCTGGGCTGTGTTTCCTCTGCTGAATCATTTGCTCCAAATTCTTCAGGTCGGGCATTGTTTTCTTTATCGGAGAAGACTGAGGCAAAGAAGGCATTGAGGAGTTCAGCCCTTTCTGTGTCCCCTGTTTGCATTTCACCATCTTCTCCTCTGAGTGACCCCACTGTTTCTTTGTTCTTCCTTTTGCTACAAACATACCCATAAAAGCCTTTTTTGTTGCTTTTAACCTCTCTAGCAAGCCTGAGTTCATAGACTTTGAAGACCAATGCATATTTTATAAAGTGTGGAGTGGAGAGGAGGGTTTCCACTTTCTCAAAGTATGAATTACAGTAAGTCTGCAACTTATATGCTTTCAGCTTCACGTGTGTAGCATAAAATTAAAAAAATTAAAAGGGGACAGGAAAAGGGTGGGTTTCTGGGGGAATGATGTTGGCAACCCTACCCACCATTGAACCCAATGTGTTTTGACTACACGCGATTTTGGTTTTAGTCACGATCCCTGGAACATAACCCCCATGTTAAGTTACAGGCTTACTGTATTTTTAAAACATCTCATCAATACTGAGGAGTCCATTGCTCTCCCTGAAGGAGGAAGAATTAGTTTTTTTCCCAGAGTAGGGCAATAGCTAATTGAATTGTTTATCGCTTTGTAGCTGTATTTAGATATAAACACTTCAAATATGAATCAGCTCTCCTGGGACAGCTTGTGCTGAACTGAAGAAAACAAGTTCAATATTCTGAAGTTCACCCTGGCATTCAGATTGAGGCAGGACTTTAGTTTCTGTAGTTCCTACTTTTTAAAGAAATGTAGCTTTCTACGTGAACCACAGTGGCAAAGGCAAGACATTTTGCCACACAATGTGCACCTACTCATTGAGCTATATGGAGCTAACTCCTAGAAAAGCAAGTCTAAAGGTCACAGCCTAGTGTGTGTGTAAGAAAACATGTTTCCTCTTTTACATCATTTAAATACATTCCTCCCTCTTAATTTCCTGCTCCAACAAATCTATCTGGTGGGGGGACGCAGGGGGACACATACCCCTAAACATTGTGTATCTAAGTTTGGCCTCATTGAGGGGCAGTATTTCAATATGAGTAGGAAAATGAGAGTACTTGTAAACATTTTTTTTAGAAAAAAAAGCACTGGATATAGCAATGAAAAAGGCATTACTCTGTAAATTCATTTCCATGAATTCAATATGACATAGCAACTCCTGACTATGAATGATCATCCGTGACAATCCTTTAGGTAGGCACACCAGGAAGAGAAAAAACAAACAAACCCTGAACTTTCCATGACTTCTGAGTCCCACTCATGTCCATTCTCCCTAGGAGGTTAGAACCAATCAGTATCACAGAGGAAAGGTGCACAGAAACCCATTCACAAAAGGTTTGCGCTAACAGGGTTTTCTATGTCCTGTGCAGATTAATGTAACAGTAGCTCAAGGGATACCAATTACCTTCACAGCAATTCCTGGTAGTTAAAGGCAACAGGTAACAATGTTAGCAGGATATAATGGCTGGGGTAGAGAAGGAAGTTTCTCACTGATCACACAAAAAAAATTAAAAATACACATGCGTATAAACTAAGTTGCTGGAAACCTAAAACCAACTTCATTGCTACTATGGCCACTATTCCTGCGGAATCTAGATCCAAGAGAAAATGGAAATGGTTTAACTTAAGAAATGATAGCTAATACTGGCCTAGCTCATGACATAGGACCCTAAAACATTAAATATACCTTTTCTAATTTTAATCCAGTAGAACCAGAAGGGATAGCAGTGCACTTGTTACAGACCTATTTTCCAGTTGCAAAATAACTCATTGTAGGCTGGTTTGCTTATGGAAGTCAAGAGTGTTGAGCTACCATTTATATCATGTTGGAAGATAGAAGATAGAAGAAAATCTGCATTCACGCAAAGCACAATGCCTATATAATTGCAGGTGTAGAATCTGGGCTTTACTATGGCTGGTATTTAGATGGAATGTATTGCAACAAACAAAAGACCCCTCTTTTCTGCTCCTGACTGCAGACTTACATGCTGTGTCTCAGCTCACAGCAAAGCACTGGAAAACTATTCACAAGTTTCTCACACAGCATCTAATTTGGCCCTTTTTGGCACAGCATTATCAGCTGGGTAGAGATCCAGCAATCTGCACACAGCACTAACTTTCAAAAGTGCAGTGAACATCAAGGGGAGTATTCTTGTATTATCTTCTCCTTCCCACTACTCAAACATTTTTCCAGTTTACAGAAGAAGTATTAGTGGACACAGCATGACCCAGGAAGCACCCAAGTGTCTGCTTGACTCACAAAAGCACAAGCGTCAGTTTCAGGGTAAATTGTCATAAAAACTATTCACACTCCAACTGCTAAGCAGTTAAAGATTGATGGAATGTACATAAATACTCTCTGGGCCTTTCCTTTGGCATGTAACCCTCAGCGGTTGCTTGCATAGTTGCAAGATAAACAGAATCCTTCACAGAGTCACAACTGATTGTTACAGTCATGATAAGAAGTTACATTTGTTCCTTTCTGATATTGGGGCTTCAGTCAGATATTACAAAGTCAGTCCACAGCTGTGCCACCACAGTTTTAAAACAGGTTTACCCACAGTTCTTAACAGAGTTATTCGCCCATCCACTGGCTTTAATACAAACACACAAAAACAGTGCAATATTCCTGTCAAAGGCTTTCATCTGCTACAGAAGATCTAAATCCCTTAAAGTACCAGTTCTATGCTATCTCCAGTGGAACTTACGCCATCGTAGCCCTACTGAGATGAGTGAGGGTTGTTGCTTTTAGAAATACTCCTGAAGGTTACTTTCATCCAAAACACATTGAGTATTTTAAAAGAACTATGTTTGATTAAAAAAATTATTTCTTTGCACCATTTTGAGGCTCTGTTTCTCTTGGATTTCAGTTCTGTCCTCTTGGGCGCTCACCTTGCTGGACCCTGGGCCGCTGGCCTTCTTTGGAGATCCTATCTGGCTCGTGGAAAGTTTCAATGATTCCTAAGTTATTCTAGAGTCTATTCATATATTAAATACAGATAGGTGGAAATTCCTGCATGTGTTTAGTTAAGATACGAAGGTGAAGGCCAAGCTGTAAACCACCTCTCCAACGCTCGCTTTCCACGCAGCAAGATTTCTATGTGAGGCTGATTCAAGCAGTACATACATAAATACATACATATATAATTGAGAACTGTACCATACCCTAATCATGTGAGACTTGCCTCAAAGGGCCAAATCAGAAAGGATGTTAAATTTCCAGTTTCCACCAAAACCAGCAAGTTAATTTCCCTTCAAGTGTCTGGTAAACCTCACTGCAATGGTGCTACCACAATACTGCTTTTCACTTACACTTGCTTGACATCATTGGTTGCTGCCAGATGAGAACAGGCAAATGCATGATATAATGATGGCAAGTAGTAAAGTAGCATATAGACATGAAATATGGCACATGTAGCACCCAGTCTAGAGCCCTAAGAGTGAGGAAATGAAACTTGCAATCTAAGAAAGAAGATGCTGAAATGCAAATCACTGTGGTAAACAATGTTTTAGCTTATAATTTAACAGTTTTAGCTTTTAGTGTTTCCAAAAGTTACTATATGGTAACTAAGTCATATCCAAGGTTTCTGGTTTTCTCTATTCTTCCCTTCACATGATGTTCCCTTGTCATTATGGCAATGTTCCATAATGTTCCAATTTTACACAAGCACTCCTCAGCAGACTAGGGACAATAAGATTCTGGGATTCCAAAAATAATGTATTATGTTATTTTCTTACACAATTGTTTTGATATTTCAACAAAACATGAACTGGATGGGAAAGAACCAATAGTTTGCTTTCATCTTTTCAAAATCCATAGTTTAGAACCATCAAAAATGTTTGTTTAAAAAAAAGCCTCCTTTGTTTCTGCTACAGTCCTAACATTTATCACTGTGTTTTTCTGCAAATCTTGTTTACTTTCTAGGGAAAGAACACAATGGTTTTGGTACAAGGAAAATCTGCTGGACTCTTGGAAGAAGTCTACCACACTGTCAAATGTTTTTTCTCCTATATAGGAATAACTTCTGTATACAAAAATGCTATTTTCTAGAATTATTGCTACAAGTTATTAAACAAATCTGGTTAACTCAAGTGTGCTGGGGAAATTGCTAAATTCCTTAGAGATAAGATGCCCTTTAAAATGTTATACACCTGAATCTGGCATTTCTCCACCTTCCAAACCAAGCATTGGTTTGAAGAAAAGATGCTGAAGAGCACTGTGTAGAAAACACAGTATATAACATTGCATTATCTAGTTATGCATGCATCAAATTTGCATCGCCTCTTGCAAATCAGCAGTACCAGTTGAATATGCAAATAATGTGTGCTGCTCAGGTACAGGAACATAGGAAGCTGCCTAATGCCAAGCCAGACGATTGGCTCATTTAGCTCAGTATTGTTGACACTGGCTGGCAGCTTCTCTCCAAAGTTTCAGTCAGTCAGGGGATACTTCAAGACCTAATTGGAGATGTTATATACTATATGTCACTGAGCTGCAGCCCCTCTCCAACTTGTACAGCTTTAAATTGTGATTGACAGCTATCATGCATATTAACATTGATACAATAAAGAAACAAAAGTATTCCTTTCTACAAGGCTTCTCTCACTTACAGTGGTACCTTGGTTCTCAAACTTAATCCATTCCAGAAGTCCGTTCGAAAACCAAAGCGTTCCAAAACCAAGGCACGCTTTCCAACAGAAAGTAATGGAAAATGGATTAATCCGTTCCAGATTTTTAATAACAATCCCAAAAAAAGCAATTTAACATGAATTTTACTGTCTAATGAGACCATTGATCCATAAAATGAAAGCAATAAACAATGTACTGCAGTCACACAATCAATCAATCGGTAGCTGAATTGGGTTCCACGCAGTCACACACACACAAAAAGAGCCACACAAATGCAAAATAAATAGCAAAAAACAGACGGACGTTAAGTGTAACACTCCACACGGAAGTGTGGCACTCAAAATGGAAGTGTAACACTCATATCGGAAACGTAACCCTCAAATTGTCAGCGTAACACTCCAAACAGAAATGGAAACGTGGCACTCCAAACGGAAGGGTGGCACTCAAATTGGAAGCGTAACACTCAAAGCAGAGCACGTTCAACTTCCAAAAAAAGTTTGCAAACCGGAACACTTACTTCTGGGTTTGCTGTGTTTGGGTTTCAAGTTGTTTCAGAAGCAAGGCGTTTGAGAACCAAGATACCACTATATTTTATTTCCTGAATGAAAAAACTGATTCCAAAGCTTCGGGTCCTCCTAGGAGATGGATGCTATTTTGCCTGCATCCTCCCAAATCATCAGTTGAAAATGGTTAAATTCTCCCACCTCACTTGTCTCCACTAAAGGAAAACACTGGGCAGGAGGAAAGAGTACATACAGATTTGTGACTGACCATTTCAGTCTCCAGCCAGAAAAATAACTTACCAGAGACTTCCTTTGCACTTTCATTCACAGTGCTTTTTCAGAGGGAAGGAACTGGTATCAACTGAACAGAAAAAAACAAAGCCTCAGATAGTTTATCACTTATCATACTTCCCTAATCCCTGCACCTATCCTTCTAAAATTCTGCAGAACCTTATGCGGAAAACCTGATGTAAATTTTAATTTACAATAATAACAATAACAACAACAACAACAAAACATTTGTAGTTGGTTAAAAACAGTGAAGGCAGTGGCTTGTGAAACTGAACAAAATCCAAGCAGAGTTAAATAAAGGAGTACAGTGCCTGCCACAGTTTTTTGCTACTTCTCTTGTTCCCAGTCTTCCACACACAATGTCCTTCAACTTGCATATTGTGATAAGGAGTAAAATTTCTTTCCCCAACCCCATTTTATCCTCACAAGAAGACTGCAAGGTAGCTTGGCTGAAAGGAAATGACTCACCCAATAGGCTTCATAGCTGAGTGGGAATTTGAACTCGAGTCTCCCAAGGACTCGTCTGACATTCTAACAACTACACTAGCCCTTACTAGTTCACCAACATCTTCCATAGTATTTGAAAACCTAAGAAAGGGAATGGATCATGCAGAACCAAAGCACAGGAAGGGGGTTTGAAGGCGAAATACATTCACTTGCAAAGGAATCACATAGGCATAGATTGGTGTCAATGCCTCATGTATGCATATACAGTGATACCTCGGGTTACATACATTTCAGGTTACATACGCTTCAGGTTACAGAGTCCGCTAACCTAGAAATAGTACCTCGGGTTAAGAACTTTGCTTCAGGATGAGAACAGAAATCGTGCTCCGGCGGCACAGCAGCAGCAGGAGGCCCCATTAGCTAAAGTGGTGCTTCAGGTTAAGAACAGTTTCAGGTTAAGAACGAACCTCCGGAACGAATTAAGTACTTAACCCGAGGAACCACTGTACAATCAGATACACTGAAAGATGCTATCACTTCAAATCAGTAACCTCTGCGGATTAGCTGAATGCTTTGGCGCTATCAACAGGCATTTTTTTAAGTACATATATAGAATGACAAGGCATGTAGCACAAGAACATAAATCTTTCTTTTCACTTCTCCTCCTCCCCCCCCCCTCACACACAAAAATTCTCAATAGCTTTCCATTTGCATATCAATGCTTACTCAGGTTTGAAGTCCATATTCATATCTCATGCCATTTGATGATGAGGACAGAAATGCAAGAAATAATCTATCAGGAGATCTCCGTAGTCTGCCAGAAATCACTTCATTAAAAGCAGCAATCCCTGTCAGTCCCACAAAGTGTTGTATAGGAAACCAAATCTTATTAATCACACCTCTTTCAACATTGCTTCTTCAAATACTTTTACTGCAGGGTCATGTATCAAAGGTTAAATAAGCGCAAAACTCAAACTCCTCCCCTGCACATAGAGGCCAGATTTATTATTTGCCTTGCTAACAGGTATTCCTTCAGTAGCTAAAGAATTTATAACTCCAATACAGTATTTATGGCAAGTGCCAATGCAAACAAGTGAAAACAATTTTGCCTCTACTCATTGACTCTTGTAAATAATGGTAATTGTTCAAATATTTGCTTTTTGACAGAAAAAGTTGTTTTTACAATGAAGATTTCAGGTATCAGAAAGGCATTAAAGATCCTGAGTGTCACTCAAAACTAAAGCAAATGTTCCATTCTGCACTAAAATAAACAAACACGGTGAATATATTTAAACATTTTGGTTCTCTTCCAAATAAATACAAGCCCAACAAAAAGTCTGACCACCTATTATTGAGCTTACAATGCTCAGGGTTTAAGAACTGAAGCATCCCAAGATGTCAAAGGTGTCAATAGCTGGACAAAGCCATCACCTATTTCCAAATCTGTCTGAAAATTCTCATTTCCGCTGCACTTTTCCACTGAAGATCTACCAATGCATTCACAAAAGGGTATGTGGAGGAACCCATCTGCCACAGGACACATGCTCCAATATCGAATTGCAATGATGTGTGGATTCCTACACTAATTGGTTATGACGCATCAAGCATGCAATCTTTACCCTCTTCTTGTAAACCTAAGAGAAGACTTTGCTGGATCAGACTAAAGTCCTATCTAATCCAGCATCCTGTACTCTCACTGGTCAACCAGACTCTTCTGGGGAACCCGACTGCAACAGCATTCTCCTCCCTTGTGATTTCCATAAACTGATAGTCCAACACATGCTGCCTCAACTGGAGGCAGTACACAGCCATAATGGCCAATAGCCTTATTGTCAATTAATTTGCCTAATCCCCTTTTAATGCCATCCACATTAGCAGCCATCACTATATTTTTTGGTAGCAAATTCCAAAACTTTAATTATGTGCTGTGTACCACTCCCTTTTCTCCATCCTGAAACTTCCAATATTCAGCTTCAACAGAATGTCTCGTTTCTAGAATTATGAGCAAGAAAATCTTTTCTCTATCCACTTGCTGCACACCACATACAATTTTCTAAACTAAAAAGGCTGAAAAGTTGCAACCTTTTGTCATGGTGGAGTTGCTCCAGCCCCTTGATCATTTTGGTTCCTCTTTTCAGAACCTTTTCCAACTCTACAATATCCTTTTGGGAGAATCATAGAATCATAGAGTTGGAAGAGACCACAAGGGCCATCGAGTCCAACCCCCTGCCAAGCAGGAAACCAGATGAGGTAACCAGAATTTTACACATATTTACTATTGGCTTTTGAAGGTGGAATCTTTATTTTAGGCCAACAGGGGCAGAAACCTTTACACAAAATGCATTTTGAAGTCACTTATATTGGAGAGTGCACTGATCAAGACAGGATCTTGCTCTTACCAGCAGCTCTCAAATTTCAGCAGTGCCCTGTGTTATGCTAAAATTCAGCGCTCCCTTACCTATCAAGCTCCTTTCTACATCACTGTTGTGGGTCCCAATGGCACTGGTACCCAGTCCTGCCAAACCAGTCACACTACCCTAAAACCACCTTTGCTCTTACACAAGTTCAGCATACACACTTTTAAGAACATGGAGCACAGGGCTTATATCAAGTTCCATACAATCTTTCTCCTGTGGTGTAAATCAACCTCACCTAATGCATTTTGCTTAAATCATTAAAATTTGAAGTGAAGGAAGAGGCTATAATTTATAGCCTCTTCCTCCACTTCATATTTTATGAACATGTGTTTATTTATCTGTGGGATCTGTGGGACAGATGCTTGTAACAAAATCCACCTTATTTCCTGTAGATGAAGAAGCCATTGTTAATTTAAAAGGAAACAGGAAAACTTGATCTGAACAATGCCTTAAAAGGAAAAAAATCAAATACATTTATTTTTGAGTAACAATGCCAAGGTATGTTAATGATAAAACCAGTTGTGTGCCATTACACAACAGATTTATTACACCAAACAATTGTGTTTTTTTTCAGTAGTTGGGAACAAAGTATTTTAAGATGATGCATCAACAACTGGGCAGAAACAATTCTGGATAAAGTGGAAGTAAAAGACTTATCTATCTGGCATTATTTTTCTGCTAAAAAATTGGAGGGCAGGAGTGGCGTAAAACCAACAGGTTTAGAGAACACTGGCAATTCAGAGCTGAACATCAGGCTACACTGGAAATGTACACCTGTGCCCTCTGACACCAGGCTCCATCTTACAATACACTCATGTTCAAAAGCACAGACAGGTATACGATAATAAATTTTGGTATCTACAACTGATTATAGAAGGCTGCAAACTGTTGGCAAATCTAGGTGGAGAAAGCATTAGCTGATTAGTTGGTGAGTGAGTGAAAAACATAGTGCACAAGTTAAAAATACACCAACAACCTGAGGGAAAATTTACAAATTGTCAATGAGAGAAGACTGTCCAGAAGTTTGAACAGGCACAAGATGATGTTTCATCAAGGATTCAGTAGCTTGGTGATCATTCAAATGTCAGCAGTTCAGAAATTCAGCCCTTCATTTTCATAGCATCTGTCTCTGTGTTAAGACAGCCTAGACAGCAGTTTTTGTCCATGCCATTATCCTATTGGCTCCAGCTTCTATTGTTAAAAGGTTGCTTAGCAGAATTTGGCTATCAAATGAACAGAGTTCAAGCACGCAAGGCCAACAGGTTACTCATTGTGTCTTCACAAACACTGTCCCTTCTCACGCAGCATTACAAGAGTGCAATACTATGCACATCTCAGATACAAGTCCTGCAGAGATCAAGGGGGCTTACTCTTAAATAAGTTTCCAGGCCCAACTAAACGTGCTCACATTGGTGTTTAACCCCTAAACGATTTAGGTCCCAAATATCTGAAGGACTGCCTCCTACCCTATAGACTCTCCGAGGTGTTAAGGTGGCAGTTTAACCACCCCTGGAAGCACAGAGCACTGCATTCTTTGGGGCAGCTTCCAAAATGCAGAAATCCATTCCAATGGAGGTGAATCAATATTAATCTTCATAGTTTCTGTCATTTGCTGAAGTCACAACTCTTTACCCTAGGCCTTTGACAGTTAAGGTATTTTGTTTTTTTGTGACCCACCTCTATTGTTTGATGCACATTCTTTGGTTTGTTTTCATTTGCTTTATTGGATTTTAATGTTATGTGATTATATGGTTGTAATGCACTCTGAGACCTTATGCTGAAAAGTGGATAAGAAATATTTTATAAATAAATGGGAACAGGCTTGCAGCATAATAGTTTCTTAGCATCATTAAATATTGCACTAGCCATTGGCCTTGACATTATTGAGACAAACTTTCTACATAAAATTTCTATTAGAAAAGGCTACCATAAAATCTTTCATACGAAATCTATTCATCTCAAAAATACTATTAAAACGTTTCCCCTCAGAACAGATCCTAAGAGGTCTGTTATCTAAGATCAAACGAGGTCTATTATCTATCATATCCTCTAGTTCTTTCTGTTTATTCTGCCTGAATTTTCCTTGCAGGTAAAAAAGGGATGGTGAACCTTTTTCAGCCCAAGGCCACGTTCCTTCATAGGAATGCCAGTGGTGGGGGCCAGACAGCACACGAAGGTTGACAAGAAGTCTAGTCTTGGACACAAAAGAGAGAGCATCCAAACAGAGACAGTTGGAGATGTGAGACCCGAGTTCTGGAGAAGCAGTTCTGGGGTAGAGGAAGCTGGACATTATCTGCATTTAGGTGACACTGTAAGGCCTGGGATTTGATGAGGTCACCCATGGACAACATGGAAAGAGCATAGAACCAACAACAGATCCTTTTAGGACCCCAACAGAGACTGGAAAAGCCAATGCAGCATTTTCATATATGAATAGGTAGGGAAAAAATGCTTCTCCTGGCCCACCACGATAATCCTCTGCCTAGTTGTGCTCCACAAACTTTTGCCTCCTCTATGCAAGAGACATGTTTAGTCAGAAATAAGTCCCCTGACTACAGATGATCACATGCATCACATGTACTTTTGTCCTGGGAATAAAACCATGACAAACCATCATTTGTCAGAGCACACATGGCTCTTACAAATCCAGCTGCACAGCAAAAGGGCAGTTCGTATCAAGATGTACCAATATAACCATTTACTTCAGAATAATCACATGGAATTCAAAAGCATTTCAGAACCATCAGATATCATTCTTTTTATCCTAAAAGGACATATATAACAGTATAGCAGCAAAAAAAAAATTCTTTACAAGTGAAGATGTGATTCTATACATATCACATTGCTACCTTATCAACGAGCAACACTTGTTGGCACATTTTTAATCTCATCACTTTACTGCAGGTCTAAGTATCACTGTAACCTCTGACATATCAGATAAGACACATGATTCATTCTCACCAAATCTGTTTCACTTGTTCTCCTGGAGACCAAGTAGCTGGCACTATCCCACATGGCAATGTGAAACAGCCATACCAAACGAAACGTGGCAGCAAGAGATCTATGACTGGAACTCCCAATGGGTTTTTTTAAAAAAAATTAGGGCAAATACAAGGGTAGAGGGGGGTGCCAGATGAAAAGGGATAACCCTGTGTCGTTTTCCCACTCCAAATCACTTCCTGGAGGTGCCATTCCCAAATAGGGAAAAACATACAACTCTGATCTCAGATTGCACTTTTCCAGAGTATCTGCAGAACTCTACTACACTGCAGTACACAGCTGTTTTTCCTATATTGGAATTCTAATTTGACGACACTTAAGTTTACAGTTGCTAGCGTAACGGATTCCATACACACAAGCCCCATTTTCATTTTCCATTGCTCAAGTTTTATGAATTGGATTAGAACCTGATTAACCATGTTAAAGCAACAGAAAACCCAGCTGGGCTTCGGGAGGGGGGACAACCATGAAACCCTTGCATCTTGCTTCGCACAATAAATCCCATGCAGATTATCATAAAAAGTGTATGCTAAGCATTCAAACAGCCTAACAACATTTCTTCATGTCAATTCAAAATAACCTCATATTGCATCTGGACATAACTTTGGGCTTGTGAGGAAAGCGGTGTAAAACTAAGCGCTCAAATGCTTCCTTGGAATGAAGCCTTATTAAGCACATCTGGTGTGGGGGAGGATTAGAAAAAGCAGCCGCTCAAGAGGAAGTGACTTCCTTCCCATCCCAGAGAAGGAGTGCTTAGTGACACTGTAACAATGCTGGCAGGCTCATGGGATTCAGATGCTCAACTCGAAATTTCAATTTAGCAACACAGGCGCTGATCTCATCAAGATTATTTGCGGCAACAGCTGTAGCAATAGCTGGTCACTATATCTGCAGAGACAGGGACTCCACCACTATAAGTTTCTTCTCAAGAGGGATGCAACATGAAACCCAAAAGCACCTGAAGGGGCCTCATTTGAATGTCCACCAGATCCTGCCGTGATCCATCTTAGAACTCACAGGTTGCAGGTGTAGGTGGCTTGATTACCACCAGCAGGCTGGTCTCCCCCGTCCCCCGGTGTTGTTGTTTCTTAACAACTAGCCTGATTAGGTAGAGGTAAAGGTAAAGATACCCATGACCATTAGGTCCAGTCGCGGATGACTCTGGGGTTGTGCATTCATCTCACTCTATAGGCCGAGGGCGCCGGCATACAGCTCATGTGGCCAGCATGCCTAAGCTGCTTCTGGCGAACTAGAGCAGCGCACGGAAACACGGTTTACCTATTTATCTACTTGCACTTTGACGTACTTTCGAACTGCTAGGTTGGCAGGAGCAGGGACCGAACAACGGGAGCTCACCCCATCACAGGGATTCGAACCACCGACCTTCTGATTGGCAAGCCCAAGGCTCTGTGGTTTAACCCACAGCGCACCCTGTGTCCTGATCAAGGGGGATTCAAAAGCTGGCACACTGCTTTGTGACTTTTTGGTTCGTGTAATAAAGGTTCTTGCCTTAATAAATCTGAGTTTATTTATTTATAGGCCAACAACATGCAAGGAGTACAGGCAAAAGTGAATGGAGCCTGCTGGATCAGGCCAAAGGACTGTCTGGTCCAGCACTCTGTTCTCACAGTGGCCAATGAGATGCCTATGGGAAGACCCAAAGCAGGCTCTGAGCAAAACACTCTTCCCACCTGTGATTCCCGGCACCTAGTATTCAGACGCATACTGGCTCCAACCGTGGAAGCAGAACATAGCCATTGTGGTTAGCAGCCGCTGAGAGCCTTATTCGCCATGAATTTGTCTAATTCTCTTGTAAAGCCATTTAAGCCACGTGAAAAAGTACTTCCTTGTGTCTGTCATGCAACTTCCAACATTCAGCTTCTTTGCACTGCCCCAGGTTCTAGTATTGAGAGGGTGGGAGAAAAACATTTCTCTGTACACTTTATCCACACCATGTATAATTCTGTATCGCTCTATCATAACCCCTCCCCCTACTTGCCTTTTCTCTAAACTAAAAAGTAGTAACTTTTCCTCATAGGGCAATTCTTCCAATCCGATAATCATTTTGGTTGTTCTTTTACACACCTTTTCCAGCTCTAATATCCTTTTTGAGGTGAGGTGACCAGACATGTACACAGGATTCCAAGTACAGTCACACCATTTATTTGTATTAATACTATTGCCATTCCAGCCACACAAAAACCAGGCATTTCTCTACACACACACACACACACACACACAGAGAGAGAGAGAGAGAGAGAGAGAGAGAGACTGACTCTCCATCTAGGAAGAGGTATTAGATCAGTTTGAAGACACATTCTAGGGAGGCAGAAGGAACTGAGTAGAGTGCAGAGGAGTACCAGTGAGGAATCTAGCCTGAGGCAGGTCATGGCCCAGGAAGAGTCCTGAGGGTCAGACAAATAGGCCCTCTTAAGTATTGAGGTCCCCCACCCTGGAATAAGAATCATCATTACAAACTAAAACCTGCTATTGTAAGAAAACCCGCTTTCCTTGAAACACACACCTATATCAGGACACAGTGAACAGAGGTTGAATATGCCCCAATCCTGTTGAAACTGTTCTACTTCACACTTGTCTTTCCTCCCAAACCCCACATAGGTGCCTTCAGGAGCAAAAGACTCCACTCCAAGAGTATTCATTCTATTTTCAAGCAAGCTTTCCTGTCTGCCTCTAGTTTATGCAGTCAGTATTTTGACACACACCTCAGAGTAATAAAAATGTATTGAGCTCATTGGGGGGAAACGATGGGGAGGGGGAACCAAAGCGCACATTGCAGGAAATACTGTTTGCACCACGACAAGCAATGGGAAAGGGGATATTTGTACTTGTAAAATAGCCTAATAATTTACTCTTGCTATTCTTAGAAATAATTATTGAAAGCGGTTTAAATGTGTGTGTTCTTCCTTTTAACAATACAAAATGCTGTTTCTTTTTTCCATAGGCAGTCCCAGAAGAGAATGAACAGAAAGCTAGTGCCTCCCTCTGCCATAAGGTAGCTCAGCTTTCCCCCCACCAACACCTTCCATTCATTGCTGGATCCTTGTAGTTACTTGGAAGGAAAATCCCTTTTCACACATAATTTTTTATAACTACATTTATAAGAGAAATTGAAAGAAGACTAATTCTAGGTAAACCTCTTAGATAGTTAATGTTTCGTCAAGTAGCATACTAATCATGCTAAATAAGAAATAAATAATGCCTACATCGAAATAAACTCAAAATCGGCATGACACATTTAGAGGAAAACATGCTTAGGATCGGAGTGTAAGGGCCAGACGATGTTATTTCTCCTCCAGAAATCGAACATGCAGGTGCCGCTGGCTGAACTTCAGGACTTTTGCTTTGGGTGCGCTACCCTCCAGTATTTAGTACACTATCTTATTCCTCCTCTCCCCCCCACACAAAATTTATACGCCGCTTGCTCGTACAGAACAAAGCAAAACAAGCGCTCCAAGCGGTTTACAAACCCCAGCCAGCATTAGCCTTCGCTTTCCACCTGTTGCACGCTCGGCAGCCGCGCCCCAGGGTGGTGGAGCTGCTGGCATTCCTCCTGACCGTCCTTTAAACTTTGGTCACATGGCCTGACGCAGCCCTTCGAGAGAGGCAGCCTTTTGTACCTGGCTCCAGCCACCCTGCCTACGTCAACAGGTAAGCAGGCAGGCAGGCAGCCCTCCCTTGTCCTCCTCCACGAGAACCACCCGCGCAGTTGCCGCGGGCGCCCCTTCCTTACCTTACGGGGGACGCGCCCGCCGCCTCCTTGGCGCTGCTTCCCGGCGCCTCGGCATCGGCGCTGCTGGGGTGATAGGCTGTGAGCACCACCCCCTGGGAAGCAGACCAGCGGCTCATGATGCGGGCGAGGGCATCGTTGTTCCTGGACTGAGCGCAGCGCCGGCGAAGTTCCTGCCTCGCCCGGCCGCGGGGCGTATTAGCTGGCCGCGGGCCCGCCCCCTCGGAGGCGAGGCTGCGCTTCGCACTGGGCGTCGCGGGCGAGGGGAGGACCAGCCTCCGTCCGGACCGCCTCCAATGAGATCTTCGCAGCCTGGACCGAGTACTCCGGCCGCCTTTTTTCCAAGCGAGTCTTGCTCTCGGGCGGCCTTTTCATGAGTCAGCCACATGTTTACGCTCATATATTCTTCGCGCGGAGAGATTTTACGCCGGCCTTTCCCCACCCCAGATGGGAGCGTCGCTTTGCCTCTTCTTTTTTCTCCCTTTAGTTTCCTCCACCTCCTCCTTGCCAAGTGATTGTGTCTTCCGTGCAACGCTTCTTAACCCCTTGCTCGCAGGTTTCCTTCTCTCAGCGCAGGGATCTCAGGACGCCGTGGCACAAGCCTATCTATGATTGGCACGCATGGCCATCCCAGCGTTTCCTCGCCGCTTTAGCGGGACGTTCCTTGCTCGCTACATGGAAACCAGGATTGATCCCGCTACTGTGCTAAGTCAGGTGCACTCAGCTCACTGACTTGCTAGGTTCGGACATTTGTAAAGAATCGTTTATAAACGAGAGGAGCCAAACTAAAACTTGGAGTTTCTGCATTCCTCAAAGAAGTTGCTGCAACAAAGGAACTTTGGAGGCACATTTTAAGAACGTAAGATGAGCCCTACAGGGTGAGGCCAGAGGCGCATCTAATTCACTACCCTATTCTGCGGAATTCAGTTTGGGTTTGGGTTTGGGTTTTGATAGGAATGTGCTGTGTGTAATTACGCAAACCATTGTTATTATCCTTTGTTATTATCCTCCCTCTCTCTTTAGGAAAAAGGGTCTTCACTTGGCAGGTCACTTCAGGTGGCTACGTATAAGAAAAAGGCATTCATGGAATCATAGCCTGTAGAGTTGGGAGAGATCGAGAGGGTCATCTTGTCAAACCTCCTGCAAAATCTCTTTCATTCCCTCCTTGTTGCTACGCAGACCAAGCCCTGACATAAAAAATAGATTCAGAGTTACTTGCGAGTGGTCATCCATTACACTTTTGGCAGGGTTAAAAGACACCTACCGCAATTATGGTTATTTGAGATTAGGTCTGGGATTTCCTGAATTCGCTCTTGTACAACCTCTCTGTCTTGGAGCAGAGTGCATCATTTGTGAATCAAGACACAAACAGCAGCTGGGACAATTTGCTCCTATACAACCAGCTGAATGATGGGTTGTTTTTTTATTCAGTTTACCATAAGACATGTGTAATAGGAGGTGGCTCCCAATTTATTGTTGGGCCTCAACTCCCATCGTCCCTGAAAATTGACCATAGTGGCTGGAGCCAGGTCCTGCCCACCCATGAGGCAAGCTGAGGTGATTGCCTCAGGCGGCAGGATCACAGGAGTGGCAGTTGCTAATGGTGCAATTCCCGCCACCACCACCCCGCCCCATCCTGTCCCTGTCAAATGAATATTCATATAGAAAATGAAAAGAGATTAGATTTGAACCTGCCCTTAGACTTGACCGGATTGCACAGTACTGGTGTGGGTGTGTGGGTGTGGGTGGGTGTATACAGCTTCCTTTCACTCCTGTGTGATATGGATTTTTTTTTTAAAAAAAGGAAAATAAATATGTATTTGCCTATTTATGTAAAAAGTAAGAACAAGCTTGGGGCCGGTAACACAACTTGTCAGAGCCAAACACAGCAATTGCAGTGAAGCAGGCATTAACATCTCAGTCAAAACCATGGGCTGGCGGAACAGTCCTATCCGTTATTCAAAAGTGAGCCTTAAAAAGTTCAGTGAGACTTGCAGCCTAAATTGACCTGCTTGCCCACCGGGCATACCTCAATGTGATCATTGTCATTAAACTTTTAAAAATTATCTTTCCTGTTACCTGAGCTCCTGGAGGATATACACCTGTGTAAGTGAAGTAAGGAAATCATAGACATGGTACAGCACAGTCCTTACACAGTCCTTCTACTCAGAAGTAAGTCTTATTGGATTCTGTGGGACTGAACTTCCAAGTAAGTGGGAGTTAGGATTTCAGCCTTAATAGAACATTGTCTTGCCATAGCTTTTCTTTGAACATGTGCTGTACAACACTGAAAGGATTTACAACTTTGATACCATGGAAGTATTCATTGTTTTAACTGCATACCAAAAGCTATCCTCTGCTTCTAAACATCCTACAGTGAATAAGAAAAAAAAAACTTGAGGGAGGAAAGAAGAACAAAGAATCAAATGTATATAATTTACAATAAATATGCAATACAGACACGATGTACAAACAATACAAGCCTTTGTTGTACAAAACCTTTGAACACAATACAATTCTATAAACTAAAACAGGATACAGATTGGGCATTCTAAAAATAAATATGCAAAAGCTGTCTTTCATTTAATAGGAATCTGAAAAGATTCCACAGCTAAGGTTGAACAAAGCAAAGTTTTTACATGTCAGAGTATGCAAAAGCAGCTTGATCCAGCTGAGCTGTCATTAGGGACTGCTGAAAGAGACAGAATTGAAAATGGTAAAGGAGGAACCACCTAACCACATGCTGATGGCACAGTGGGACTCAGGAAGGATTAGAATGACATCTAAAGAGAATCAGTAAATATTTGCCACTTTCAGAATTACAAACTCCTGCCTGCAGATACTGAACAGATTTATTTGAGAATATTGAGAAGATAAAAGCATGATTGTTCATTACTCTCAAATTTAAAACATAGTTTTTAACTGAAACTCTCTCCAAGTGAAAAAAATGTTCAGTGCTGAACCAAGCAATTGCATGGAATTCACTAAGAAGAGAGTAACAGGAATGCTGAAATATATTCAAGAACTTTTTCTCATTGGTGGATTCATTAACTCTTTAAAGTGTGCTTGAAAAGCAAGGATGAAATGTGTCTTATAAGACAGTGTGTGCTTTATTACCATTAAAAAATACAATTAAGGTTAGTGCACCTTTCAGAATGGATCTATGGCTACAATTTTATGCACAGTGCACTGAACCCACAGGGACTTGCTTCCAAGTAAACATGCATGGAATAAGCCTGTAAACATCTTTGCCCTAACACACCCAATGTTGCTGCTGCTGAGACACTATGATTCTTTGTCAAGTAGCAGTTAGCTATTGTCTGTGCCATCACAAATGGAGTGATGTGGTCCCAGAACGCCTAACGATGCTGTGAGGTTGCTGGTGATGCACAACACAAACCCTTGCCAAGCCAGCTGCAGTCTATGACCCATTCATATTTTAAACTTTTTAAAAAAACTTTCAACGCTGAGTGCTTTTACTTTCTGTAACCATAATGGATTAGAAATATGTCTTTGTGTACTTCCTCCCTTCCCAAGTTTTGAGCATTAACATAAGTACCCTCCTCCTCTTTCAATTTATTCTGAGGAAATTTCCATTTCCCTGTCTTTATTAGCAGGTTATGAAGATAAGGCAAACAATTAGGTAAACAAGGTGAGGTAAACAATTTTGTCCCCAACTTGCAGCAGTTTCCCAAACTTCTCAGTTTCCCAAGAATTAGGGGGCCATGTAAAGTCTGGTGGAATGCAAAGGCCTGCAACCTAAACAGAAAGCTGTGCCATGCACACAAATTGGGAGTTTCAATGGAATGAACAATAAGAGCTCACACTAACACCAACAACTGCAAAGACTTATCAAGGGCCAAGTCTCTCTTTTAAAAGATCTTCGGGTCACAGAGAATATCACAGTAGACGTACCTCATAAAATTGGCTAATTAAACTACGCTTAGTGCAAAGGTACGTAATATCAGCACAAACTAGGCCATGTAACCTTGTAAAGAGGTGCCTGGGTTTAACAGTACTGTAACATGTTTTTGCTTCTTGCACTACTGCTCAAGGCCACTTGCTTCATTTTCTTTAAATGTGTTATGTGCACACTTGAGCATTTGTTTCTTTCATCTGGTTGTATTACACACAATGTTTTGTTGGATATTAAGAGAATTCAATAAAAATTGTGATATTTATATTGGTTAATACTCTTTCCACAGGCATGCGGGGACAGATAGCGATCTCTCTGTAGTGCAAATTCAATATTTATTTAAGAAGCAAATTTACTCTGGTGCTTTTACAAGCTAAATCTGGCACCTCCTGGCAATTAAACAGAGGCATATCAGCAACGTGACATGGAAGGAAGCTTCACTGAATTTCACTGAGGTTATGCAGGTCTGCATGTTCAGCATTTTAAACTTCTGTCCATTCTTTGCTCTCTTAAATAAAAGATTAATGGTGAAATGTGGCAGGAATGTACAGACATAAGAGCACCCCTATAATACAGGGGAATTTAGGGGAGGGGAAGTATAATCCATGTTTCTACTTTTCTTAAAGTTTGATATCTCAGTACTCGTGAGCTATTTCTGTTTGCAGATTAATAAACCAATAAATTAGAAAAAGGTCGACTTGCAGTTAGTTAAGGCTACCAATCAACTGAGGTACCAATCAATCTTGCTTTTATGTGACCAAAATAAATCCCGCTAGTTTAGACAGTTGTTTCTGCATGGCTTAGCTGTAGATGCATTGTAATTAACTGTATTCAGTACTGGTACATGACTTACTTCACATTCAAAGCTAATGCAATATAAAAGTTCTGTCCACACATTAAATAACATATACAAATAAATGGAGCTTGGCCCTTTTGTCCTACAGATAATTTAAAAAGGGTATGTTGGTGCACTCTGGTGGTTGCTTTTGTAACTATTTTTAATAAACAAGTGGGATGAGAGGAAACAAATAGTATAAATGTAGAGGGTACCACTCTTCACCAAGTAGTCACTTCATTGTGCAATGAATGACTATCCTACATGTATGGAAATCAATGGAATTTCCTACTAAGATGTATTAACTTTGATCCAGGAACAGTGCTAGATTGTATGACAGTTGTATGTAAATATCCCAATATGCAACAGACTGCTTTGCGCTGCCTCTGCCATAACCTGAAAAAGAGTAACCAATATTTATTCTTGGCTTATTGCATGTGGTTTGTTTGTGGGAGATAAATTAAAAACTTGGGTTCAGACATACTGCTATGCCATACTGTGGTTTCGCTCTCAGTAGCATGGCAACTACAGGAGGGGGTGGGGAGAGAAGCAAAGCAGCCATGATTTTATCATTGCATGCACTTGCTCATCAAGCTATAGTTTGACTCAGTATTACATGCAAATGAGACCGCAGGCTGCTTTACATCACAGGCTTACAAATAGCTTTTTTGAACTGTTTTATATGCCATGCTGCCCTTTTTTTTCTTTTATAAATCCAATGTGTCTGATGGTTTGCAGGTCCGCCTTGTCTAACAGAGCACCCCATAAAGAAAGAAAAGCTCTTTTTCAAGTGCATTTGGTCCTGCTCTATGAGGATACTCTTGAAATCAGCTCATCCTCCTTGAATTTATCTTCTAAGTGCATAAACGCTTTATATTTTCTATGCTATACTCCTTGTTATGTTTTTGCCACTAGAGCTGATCTATATGCCTCTTTATTACTATAGTACACCCATTCACTTCCCCCAAATAGGTCACTACACCCAATACTCTTCTTACAATCCTTTGTTCTCATTTGTTTCTGCCCCTATAGTTTCAAACTGGAACCTGTTAAACAAGGGGGGAAATAGCCCTCACTCTGTGGACTAGAATTCCAAACACTGTCATTTAAGTCACCTTCCAAATCAAGTGTAAGGAGGTGGACCCTGTATGAATTTCCTGAGTTCTGGCATGTGCTGTGGATCTATAAGATATCTAACCATTTGCAATGAAATGTCACAAAACAACAACAACAACAAGCCTAGAGTTGTACAGTGTACAGACAGCAACCATTTTAGGCGTGTCCAATTTCTCTCACACACACACACCACATGCCTCTATGTCAAGCGGAAAGTTGGTATTCTCAAAATTTTCACTCATATCTATAGTAAACTAGACAATGGGCAATTTGTCCCCCATTAATGGTATACTTCATCTTGCCTAAAGGTAGGGCCAAGCCTGTATTTGCCTAGCACTCCGCCAGCTCTCATTCTGCTGACACGGAGCCCCTACAATCTGCTCATCATGAGTGAAGCACAATGTCTACAACCCTTTCTCTGTGACAATGAGAGGCAGAAACACAGCTCCACCACCAGCACCCCACATGGTGGAGCAAATGCTGGGCTCTGGCACAGAGGCCCCAAAGGCCTTGCTGATGCTGATGCCAGCCTCCCTTTTTAATTTAAAACCTAAAACAAGTACAGGTAAGTGATTTTACATACCAGCACTCTAAAAGGAAACATCTGATGAGGTAGCTGCAACCACAACCATAATAACTTTCCCAGAATGCTTTTTGGCCACAACATTCAGTTCAGAGGCATTCTGAGAAATTAAGATGGCGGCTGCTGCAATCGATTCTTCACCTGGCACTTCACTTTTCAAAGCTGGACTGTCCATTGCTACCACCTTTCCCACTACTGCCTGCTATTCGCAATGAGGGAACTGCCAAAAGGCCCTCGGTTGTAGACCTCAGTGTCTAGGCTGAACAATAGGTACTGAGACACTCCTTCAAGTATATAGGGCTGAATCCATTAAGGGCTTTAAAGGTCAACACCAACACTTTGAATTGTGCTTGGAAATGTACAGGGAGCCAATGAGTTTTAGGACCGGTGTTATATGGTCCTGGCTGCCATTCCCAATTAGCAATCTGGCAGCTGCATTCTGGATTAATTGTAGTTTCTGGGTCACCTTCTAAGGTAGTCCCATGTAGAGCACATTGCAGTAGTCCAAGCAGGAGATAACCAGAGCATGTGCCACTCTGGCGAGACAGTGCATAGACAGGTAGGGTCTCTGCTGGCATACCAAATGGAGCTGGTAGACAGACAAACTGGACACTAGAATTGACCTGTGCCTCCATGGACAGCTGTGAGTCCTAAATGACCCCAAGGTTGTGCACCTGGTCCTTCAGGGGCACAGTTATTCCATTCAGGACCAGGGAGCCCCACCCCTGCTCACCCCCTATCCCTCAGTTCTTCTGACTTGTTGGGATTCAGCCTCAATCCATTAACTGCCATCCACCCTCCAACCGCCTCCAGACACTCACTGACTCTCTATATGATAAACTCACAACACATAATCATAACTCAGAAATCCTAGAGCTTTTGAAAAATATCCATTCCTGTATTCCAGCCAGAAATGTAATGAGGAACAAATTACTAGAACTAATTTTAGAATACTTTTCAGATGTTTCCAGGTGGAAAGAGTTTGCAGTTGCACTGAATTGGTTGCTTGCCATCTGCTGGCTGAAATATAATGCTGCTGCAATGCAAAAGCACTTGCACGAGTTTGTTAAATTCAGATGAGAGAAGTCTCGGAGTATCAGTTAGCAAAGCATTTCAGAGAGTAATGAAGTTCTCATCCTGTATCACCTGTACCTTAATACTGGCAGATGGTAGATGGGCATTTTGACCACCTGCTGTATTTTACATGACTCATGACTTAATTTGATTTCTGAGGCAGCCTAATTTTTAAAGGAGAAATGGGCAGGGTTTTCTCTCTCTTTACAACTCCGTCTCTCTCAAACCCCAAACCAAAATACCGCTAATCTGTTCAGGAGGAACAAGGAAAGATGTTCCTATTCCAGCAAGCATTCAGAGAGTAATGGCAATGGTCGTTTTGGGCAGGCAGGATATTATTATTATTTATTAAATTTATTGGGGGGCTACTAAGGCAACACAAAGCAACTTACAATACACAAACAAACAAACAAACAAACAAATGTCAGGTGCCTGCAAGTGGTGTGTGCAGCCCCAGGCACCCACAGTCCTGGGGCCAAGCCAGAGGGCCTCCATTCCTCTGTCTCTCTCCCATCAAAGGTCATCAGAAAAGGCAACCAAAGAAGTTTCCAAAACAAAATCGGGCCTAAACCCCAATGAAAATGGATCTAGAAAATTAGTTTAATCCAAGATAGCCTGTATCTGGCATGCAACTACTTACTCAAGAACCTTGCCCAAGAAGGGGAGATTAGCATTACAGTAATAACTCTGGTTACGAACCATCCTCCTTGCAAATGCTTCAGGTTACGAGCTCCGCTAACCCAGAAGTAGGCGCTCCTGGTTGCGAACTTTGCCCCAGGATGCGAGTGGAAATCACATGCCAGAGGCATGTGCACAGCGGGAGGCCCCATTAGCCTCAGGTTAAGAACGGTTTCAAGTTGAGAATGGACCTCCAGAACGAATTAAGTTCATACCCAGAGGTACCACTGTACTGACCAAATTACTGACCAAATCCTGGTAGGGTTTCTTAAGGAATGGCCATACTTATCACTGTTTCCTTTCAGCAGACAGAGACCAACCCCTCTTGCAGCTGGCTGTCCCCTCCCCACTAGTTTTTCTCAACTATGATTGGCAAGAGACATGGGCACAAGTCATGGGACCTGGATTGAACCAAGCACCTTGTCCACATCCTTGAGCCTTACAAATTTAAACTCATCCCACATAACAGAACCAGACAGTGTTCTGGACACCTCTAGAGATTCATCTGCTATAACAGCAGGCATGATCCTGGCAGATACAAGCAATTGTATCCCCAAAACACTTTGCAAATGAGCCAGAGCAATCCACCATTGGTTCTACCACCTCCTTCGGCCCACTCTATAAAAGGCCCCATATTACCTGGAAAAGCTCTGCCAGAGGGCACCATGAAGATGCAACGGAGGAAGCAAAGTATGCATTGGTTGTCACTTTCACTGCCACTGAGTAGGCTTGATAGTGACCAATTGTATTCAATTGTGTTCAACTGTATTAGCCTGTAGCTTTCCTCCATTTGCGTTGAAGGTGTCTCTCAGCTTGCTTCATTGCCCTGAGCTCTGGTGTGCACAAAGGTACCAAGCGGGATATACAAAGTGGGAGAGGACACAAGGGATTATTGTGTCAATGGCCTGAGCCATTCTCATGTTTCACAAATTAGCCAGGGCTTCAACAGAAACACCAGTCATATTAGCCAGAACATTTGTTAAGAGTGCTGGGAATAGTAGCTCTGTGGGAGTAAACTACAGCTCCCCGGATTATTTGGGAGAGAGCCATGTGTTTTAAATGTATGGTGTGGATGTCACCTTGTTCCATCTAGCTTTATACAGCTTTGTCCACTGGATGGAAGCAGCTCTAGAGGATTTCAGATAGGTTCTATCAAGAGATACCAAGGGTTGAACTTGGGCCTTGTGCTTGAGCTAGTGCCCTCTTGTGTCTCTGGTGAAGAATGCCCATGCATATGAAATCTCATGCTACAACAAATGAGCATTCTTGTTTGGGATATATCACAGAGCTCTTTTCTGCTGATCAAGCCATGCCTTGCTTTGCGAGGCAGTCTGGAGTGCTTGTGGAATTTCAAATCAGAATGGCTAGGGGATTATAAATATTACTTGTAAACTATTGATACAATCAGTATTAATTACTATTCATTATGAATCTTATTTAAAAGGGAAGTGCTTACTTTTTTGAAACTGAGCGTTATATATATGCACATATTGCAAACATGTAAATTTCAATTTGTTTTCATAAGCCACACAGGGAAAGGCAGTCTTTTCTGTGCTGTATAGTCTGTTCTGTTTTGAAGAGATTATAAATATATTTGTATTTTTTTTTGTTTAGTTTAGACACCATATATCTAATCAAGATTTAACACTGTTTGAACACTTATCTGAAGTCCACAGACCCCCTTTAAATTTGAATATGAGAGTTTTTTCTGATTCTGGTGAGTTTTGTGTTATCTAAATTTCAGTGAATTTGCTATTACCATAGTAAACATCTCTTGAATTTGGATGCAAATGAAAGAAATGTTAATGTATACAAGATGTCCTGTGATCTAAAACCTAATTCTTTTCCAACAATGGTAGGACAGATTTGATAACCAGAGCATAATGGTCTGCTCTGTTAGTCAAACCAACAATTAAATGTGGTCAGAAAGGGGAGGGGGATGTTTGCTCTGGTTGCTAAGCAGTGATTCATCATTTGTGTTATAATCATTTGTAATATTTGCTCTACATACTCAATAGATAAGAAACCAAGTTACATCTATCTATCTGGAGTCCTTTAAAAAATCATCATGTATGTCATAAAGTTCAGGAATTTTCAATTTTTTAAAATAAATGCATACTTGGACAATCCAAAGATCAGCACTTGGCTATCCTTCACCACAAGTTCCCAGGGCAGGTTACAATAACATAATATACAAACCAATAAAATAGTTGCAATTATAAAAACAAGTAAAACCATTCCAACTAGAACAAAACAGCCTTTTGGTTTTAATAAGAGAAATGTAAGTGTGTCCTTAATTTTCGCACTGAAGTTTCATTTTGCAGGTTTTCCAATTATTTTTAAAATATTTTATTTGCCACTCATTTGTAAGCTTTTTAATTTGTGTACTGCGTGTGGAAGAGAAAAAAATATTTTAAATTTATATATTTTAAATTTCTAACTTTGTGGTACCTTGAGTGGTTCAGCCCTGACCTAGTCTGGGGGGGGGATATACTTAATAATTAATTAATTAATTAATTAATTAAATCAATGGCACCCAAAAGTGGATTATGCCACCAGTGGGTGTTATTTGGTCTGTGATATACCATATTTTTCCATGTATAAGACTTGGGTTTTTTTACCAAAAAAATAGGTTTAAAATTGGGGCTCGTCTTATACACAGGTAGTGCCGAGGAGTGTTTTCTTAATTTGGAGTACCCAAAAATAAGGGGCATCTTATACATGACAGCGTCTTAGACACGGAAAAATACGGTATATAGTATGTTTTATGAGAGTTATAAATGGAAAATACAGGTAAAGTAACAATTAAATAGTCTTAAAAATATCATTCAGTGCAGATGTTCATTCCAAAGAGCCTTTAACTCCACTCCCACTTAGAATGGAGGCTCATATGGACTCCATGCACCTAGGCTGCCCTACGAGAGAATAGGTACATGTGGTTCACCACTCTCCAGTTTATCTCAGAATCAGTGTAATAAGAGAGCTGGGGGGTGGGGGGTGGAGTGTCCCACCCTTCACTAATACACTTTCAGGGTAGCTAACAGCCATGAGACTATTAACACAATAAACAAAATAAACAACACAACATAATAATGTCAACCAACAGGGGTAATAAGAAATACTGAATTCAGTAACATTTACTTCCTGGTAAGTGGATTTAGTTACAGATCGCAGTCCAGTGCTGCACAAGTCTGCTTCCCATTGACTTCAATGAGCCATATTCATTTATTTGTGTGTAGAGGATTGGAGCCTTTAAAATCCGCCCCTCTGCTATTATTGACACCGTCTTTATGTAATGTGCTATACAAGTATCTTTTGTAACATCAGTGACCGCTTTGCTTATGAATACTGTCTTGTTTTTTATTGGTCTGCCCATTCTTTGTCTTGCTTTGTTTGTTCAGTGTTTCTCATATTAGTCATTTGAGCCTGTTCTACCCATTTCTGTCTCCTTTGTTCGTTGTTCTAAAGTATTATTTCACATTGGCTGTGAATTTATTTAATTATATGCAAACATATTTTAATTGTGTACAGCGTTTTTATCAACAGAGAAGCTTCCTAAAAATAGAAGGAAATACTTTTGGTGTACTATTTTTATATTTTGACTTACACCCAATTTGCATAGAAATATTAGTAGTGGAATCCTGGAAACTACATAATTAATTTGTCAGCAGAACAAGAATGCTTAACGCAAATCAGAATATAAATTATTATTTATTTATTTTTACAATTAAAGCAGTGTATTAGCACACCCATTTCAGAAACTATAGCAGCCCAAATCTAGTATGTTAGTTAATCAGTGCATAAATGAATCAGTTTAATTTGCTGCAACTAAGTTAAGTTGTTTCTGGGCCACCCAGAGTCGCCACAGTTTCTAGAAGGGAATTGAGAAGAGACACATAAGGAGAAATCCAGAACCATCAGGCTCAGCCCTCAAAAGCCTTTCAAGCTGAATATTTGATAACCTAAAATCTTTGATAACCCATAGTTTTCTACTATTCCTAGTAAGGTAGCCATGTTAGTCTGCTGCAGAAAAACCAGTAAGGAGTATTGTGTCAGTCTGGAGACCAATACATTCATTATGGCAGAAGCTTTGACAGACTACTGTTCACTTCATCAGATGCATGAAAGCTTGTGCCTTAATAAATGCATTAGCCTTTAATGCACCACAAGGCTCTTCGTTGTTGTTTTTACTAATTAACTTGTTAACCTAAGGAAAGGAGATGATCAAGGACAGAACTAAAATGTAAGCTCAGATTTTGTGTGTGTGTGTGTGTGTGTGTGCGCGCACACACACACACACACACCATATATCATAATGACACCACAATCTCTGTTGTGCCTCATTTCCAAAAGGAACCACAAACCCTAGGTAAAACCACTGGAACTCATGGAATCTCACACCACTCTGAGATTGGGGTGGCATGCAACATTATGTTCACACACATATGGTGATTTTCCTCCTCTCACAAGACTGGGCTTCTTTCAGCTGACTATGACATCACCATCATCATGCTGATCAACTGCTCTCACGATTCAAAAGAAAAGTTTTATCATGTTAGAAATACAAAATTCAAGTATTCTTCCATTTCCCTTGCATATCCAAATGCTTACCATTAATATCTCTCTAATGAGTAGCAAGAACATAAAGGTAAAGGTAAAGGTACCCCTGCCCGTACGGGCCAGTCGTGTCCGACTCTAGGGTTGTGCGCCCATCTCACTTAAGAGCCCAGGGGCCAGCGCTGTCCGGAGACACTTCCGGGTCACGTGGCCAGCGTGACAAAGCTGCATCTGGCGAGCCAGCGCAGCACACGGAAACGCCATTTACCTTCCCGCCAGTAAGCGGTCCCTATTTATCTACTTGCACCTGGGGGTGCTTTCGAACTGCTAGGTTGGCAGGCGCTGGGACCGAGCAACGGGAGCGCACCCCACCGCGGGGATTCGAACCGCCGACCTTTCGATCGGCAAGTCCTAGGCACTGAGGCTTTTACCCACAGCGCCACCCGCGTCCCACAGCAAGAACATACTTGCTACCTGTTAGTTGCATTGATTTCCTTCTTGTCACCCATCCATTATTAAGATTTGCCTCTGTATTTAACTATTCTATCAGTGTCTGAAGTTTGTTAAACGTTGCTGCATTAGTCTGCTCAGCCTTGGAAAAACATTATGCCTTCCAGTTCTATGCCGAATAAGCATTAAAAACATAAATATTGTGTTCTACTCTTGTTTTTTATTTCCCATCGGTACTGCTGATTCTCTAACTACCAGGTCAGATCATAATGATTTCAGATAAGCACGCACCATCATAGTAATTTATTGCTTAACTGTAGGTCATAACAACAGTAATAGAAGAGGATAAATAATTAAAGTCAACAAGCACAGATGCGTAACAGTAAATAGGCATTGCACTGCATAAAATCTGGGCAAGGGATAAATTTTAGCCTCCCAAAAAAGTTAATCCACAGTAACATAATATATTTGCATAGGCCGCCTCCACCATAATGTTTAATTAAATCAGACTTGTCTTCCCTATTTAGGTATATCAGTGTCTAGACCTGAATTCCCTGCTGGCTGTTTCCCTTTTTGAAGTGTGGCTGATTCAGTTCAGTAACTGTGTTCAAGACTCAGCTTACAAAGTCCTTACATTCTGAGTGTAATCAATCGAGTGTCTTTGATGATGCCAGGATAGCCAAAGCTTGTCTAATTAATTAACTGAGAGTGATTAATGACTCAGGCATTTTTTACACATTCTCAATATTATGCATATAATATGAACCCAAGCAAAACTATCTCAGCACAGAGAAGTTCCTCCTGCATTCCGTATGTAGCAGCCATGAGTATGCTCCAGGCAAAATTTCTCCATTCTTATTTCTTCATTGCAAATGATTCAACATATAACCATGTCATTAAAGTAAGTTTAAAATGTACAAGATAATCCTTTTAACAAATGTAAAATGAGATGCAGTCTTTTGCAAATCTATGCATTTAGCAAAGTATGGGATGGGAAGGATTTTTAAAGCATATATTTACAACAAGCATACTGTGCATACTACAGTTCAAGAATAATCCTTTTTTTAAAGTGATAATTCAAGCGCTTCTAGCTTAGCAAATATGGAAAGACATCTGACCCTCACAGCCTGACTCATTGAGGTATCTATTATTTGCTAGGACACTTCCGAATCATAAAGAAATTTGGAATACAGAAAAGCAAGTATCCAAACAACTGATTCTGAATGTTCAGTAGGGCTTTAAATTTTAATTTCTCCAACAGTAGCTACCCATGTTACGTGGCAAGTTATGTTTGAACCTAAGGAGACTTTCCAGAGCAGTTTATAACATGGTAAGGGAGTCTTCCAATGAGAACATATGAGCTATGCTGGTCCATCTAGACTAGCATTCTGTTCTTACATTGGCCAGTCTGATGCCAATTGGAAAACCCCATGCAGAATCTGAGTGCAAAAGCACCCTTCCCAACTGTGATTCCCAGCAACTGATATACAGAGGCATACTGCCTCAGAGACAGTGGAGACGGTGTATGTAAAAAAAAAATCCTGCTAGTTATGGTCTTTAGATTCCAGCAATATTCAAGGTACTCTCATCACTAGTCAAGTTTGAAAAACACATTTTTTAACAACAGTTCATATGCATACTGCAAAATTTTCCTCCAAAGCACACTACCAGAAAATTTGCACAAGGCACAGAAAAACTTCAGGTACTGCTGAGTTCCTAATTTACTAACTTAAACCATAATCAGAGTAAGTAAGGGATAAGAATATGAGTAGCCCAGAATCAATCTACTGTACCTTGCTGTCTATCATATGCAGTTGGGAACATATGCATATGTACAGTTGGAGAGATAACAGAGTTCAATCGTCACTCAGAAACACATTTCTTGCTTACAGAATGCATGCTATGTTAACCACTGCCTTCTAGGAACTTACTTGTAAAGAAATCAGAGCTACCACTTCATGCATTAGCAAACAGTTGTGCAAATATCAATGCTTAAAGGCTGAAATGGGTCCTCTCTAAGGATATGCATATTATGATCGTTTGTGTTCCAGGAAAATCAATTTCCACTAACATACCCCCAAGTATTATTATTATTATTATTTGATTAAGAGAAAAGCAAACAGGCTTGAAACATCAAAATGAACAGAGTGGAGGGAGGATTACACTGAAAACATTTTCTAGAAATCAGGATGAAAAAAGTTTAAAATAATAAATAAAATATGTGCCGAGATAGTTTGCTAGTGTAGAATCTACCTCACTCCCATGAGTCTATGTGAAGATATCCTCATTTAATGGTTCTACACTAGGACCACCTGCAACAACTATTTTTATATGAAAACATATAAATTGTGTTATATAAACATATTGTAACTTCTACTAATAAAGTTCTTCTTGCACCCCTCCTCTTTACAAGTGATATTTATAAAACAAAAGCAATACAAAATATCAGTTCTCCCATTTAAGAGCAGCAGTCACCCTAGAACGGACTTACCAACTGACAAGGCATTTGAAAACCTATTGCTCCCCAGAGGATCTACCACAGGTAGAGTGTATAGTTTGGTATCTGTATGTTTTCTCCAACGAACGGTTTGTGTGAATATGCAATAAGTGGTTTGAATTTAATCCAGAATTTTTTTGCACAGGGAAAGGGATCCTGATCCGATATCTTTTCAGCTACCCAACCCCACAGGCACTCTCCGCTTGCTTTTGTTTTGTGTTTCCTCTGTACCTTCCCAAGGGCCGGCAGTCCTGACCCCCATTCCCCAATGGCATGTCCAGTTTGGGATGGAACTGACAAGTTAGTCTGATGTCGAGAGACTTGCCTGATAGTGACAATGGGCATATCCCTAAAAGAGAGGTGGGTGGGTGTGTTGCAAGTGTGTTGGGTGAATTGCTAGGAGGGGGGTGCATTTAGATGACAAGGAAATAAACAACTCTCTGACTTTTAGAAGACATTTGAAGGCAGCCCTGTTTAGGGAAGTTTTTAATGTTTGATGTTTTATCTCTTTTTTATTATTAATATCCTGTTGCGAGCCACCCAGAGTGACTGGGAAAACCCAGACAGATGGGCAGGGTATAAATAATAAATTATTATTATTATTATTATTAAATTAGTGTAAATTATTATTATTATGCATTTAAGTGTTAAAGAAACAATATACTGAGACTAAGTACGCACTAAACACAAGAGAAGCACAAATATTTCCTTCAAAGAATTCAGGCGTTTGTTAAGGGTTGCTGGGAATAGTGAACCTGAGAGGGGTAAACTACAGTGCCCAGAATTCTTTGAGGGAAAGAATGGGCTTTCAAGGTGCCCAATGCCCGAGAGAAAGAATGTGAATTGGGGCGATGGGGTGGGGGACTGTATAGAGAAAGTGTAATAACTATATTTGTGGGGTTTTGTAAAAGAGGAGTTAAACAGGCTTGTGTGTGAGAGAGAGCTCTTCGTGTGTGAAATTGCTGGAGCGCGGTGCGTGCGCCCACTCAACGGAGCGCTCCAAATGAGGGAACCGCGGAGAGTCTCCCGCCTCCGAGGCTGCGAGGCTTCTGGTTGGAGGAGCCGGCGGGGAGCGCGCGCGCGAGCAGGCGCCGGCCGCCTTACCTGAGGTGCAGGTAGTGCACCAGCTTGGTCACCACAGTAACCATCTTGGCGAGGTCCACCTTCTCAGAGACTGAGTCCGAGACGAGCAGGAAAGGGCGGGAGGTGGTGGTCTCCGGCTGCGCTTTCCTGAGGGAAGGATGTTTCCAGACCCGCCGGGGCCACTTCTTCCCTTGCCTTCTTTGTACGCGCTGCTGCTCGTGTCCCTGGGGCGACTTTCCTCAGCTGAGGCTTCCGCCTGCTCGGCATGAGGGTGGGCGCCGTCTGTCGCCCTCGCTCCTGCCTGTGCTGCTGCTGCTTGCTGTTCCCGGGAGGCGACGGACAGAGGGAGGAGCAGGCAGGCGCACAGCTATGTGGGCAACAGGCTGCCTCTTGGGCGAGCTGTGGCTTCTTCCCTCCTCCTCCTCGTCCTCCTCCTGCTGCTGCTACAAGGAGTCGCGTTCCCACCCCGCCGCTGCCCCTACCGACCCCTCTCGCCGCCCCAGAGCTTAAGCGCGCGTCGAGCAGCGATAGGAAGAGATTGCGGGTAGCGCCAGCTGTCATCTAATCACCTCCCTGGAGTGATTTCAAGCAACCTATCGCAAAGCGCGCCACTGTTTCTGGCGGAGTGCGTTTGTCACCCGTGTGGCGGGCGGAAATTCAACAGGTGGTGCTTCCTG